ATATATATATATATATATATATATATATATATATATATATATATATATATATATATATATATATATATATACATACATACATATATATTTACAGTATTTCAAGAGTATTATATAACAATATTACAATTCTATAGAGAGACAGAGTGAAAAGATACGATTTTATAATATTGATAATATAATAACGATGTAAATATTTTTACAATGTTACGAAAATATACTTGCACACGATCGAGGAAAAATCGATGTTTTTCTTGTTCGTTATTTACATGTCAAATCAGGCAAAAAGAACTCTCTCTTCGAACGTATCGTCTCACGTATAGTCATACGTACATTTACACAAAGCAATAAGTAGGTCCCGGCAAAGATCCGTAGGGATGCAGGCGTTAATAACAGAAGAATCTGTAACGTAGCATGCGTAGGGCGAGAGATGAAGGATAATAATTTGACGAGGATTGATAAAAGAATAATATTTCATAATGTGTATGTAGAGAGGCAGAATACGAATTCTATTTCTCGAGTAATCGAACGGAGGAGCTATGGTTGTTTGCAGGTGGCAGTGCTGGTTACCAAAACGCCCAGTCTCAACGACGTTATTAAAGATCCGACACAGTAAATCCGCTCGTTAATTTTATATATAGGTAGACGACATTTTTGCTGAACGTAAAATATAAAAAGAACAGAAAATGAAAAAAAAGAGAGAGGAAAAGAGAATATGGAGGTAAAAGAGAAGGATTCGGTCGGCGCACGTAAAGGGATAGAGGAAGAGATTTGTTATGCATCTCCCTTCTTGAAATTGTGAGATAAGAGAATCGAACGCGACGATAATAGCGATGACGATGATGATAATAATAATAACAATAGTCGGAGTATCCTAAAAGCAAAGTCCCTTTCACAAAAGAGCCATCATCGCGAAGAGCTGTATCGTGTGCGTTTATTTTAGTTTCTATTCTCAGACTCCGCGTAGCGTGATCTCGGGAAAGATGGGAATCGATATTTACGTATAGACACACGCATAGACACTTTCTGACGAATGCGAAGTGGAGTTTTTTCAGTGCGATATTTCCGTCCGATTCGGCCACTGCGGAATTTCAGAGGTTTTCTAGTCGACTGATAGTTAGATCCTATCTAAATTGAGCCGGGATCATCCAGCAAGTTTCATTCTGACAGTACATATTCGCGAAATTGAACAAATATAATATAAATGTGTACACAAAATTTCGGGATTTGTGTGTAAAATTCGGACAGGATTCCGAATTTTTTAATCTTCATTTTCGTTTATTTTCGTTGATTAAGTATGAGGTTCGAAATTTATAGACTAATAAATATACAAATTATATTAACACGTGGGCTGTCGGAGATAGTCACTGGTGGCCAGTCCTGATGATTTTTTACCACGTCTTATTAATTCAAGACTAATTGCACTCACATATTAAGTATCGTAATCGATAAGGAACTAAGGAAACTAACTGAGGTACATATATTATATATATACACATATATATATATATATATATATATATATATATATATATATATATATATATATATCTGGAACTGTATAATTTACTATGAGCTCTCAGTTATTCGAGTTTCAATTAGAACTTGGAACAATTAGTGGGAATCATCGTGGCGGTCAACGTGTTGAATAATTTATTTTTGGTTTAAGTCGTTTATATAATGCATTTAAAAGAATTGACATATTTTAGAAATTAAAAAGAGATAGTGCAAAGACGTGAGAATATGCAGGGCGTGCCACAATTCGTGACTCTTTAATTTTACTTCGACTCCGAACTGCCCGGAGTATCTGCCGTTGAAATTGAAGTGTCACAAGTTGTGAGACATCCGTTATATATTTTGCATAAGGAGATGCTAATAATCTATATAAATATATATATATATATATATGTATTTAATATATATATGTATAAATATATTTAATATATATATGTATTTAATATTCTTTATCTTTAATAAAAAGATTTAATAAAAATATTTGATATAATATCATAATTTAACAAGAAGTAATTTGTTAATACTTCGATTGAAATTTCTACCGGGGAAAAATCGGCTTCGCATCCGTCAGAAGTGAGACTTGTGTTTCCACTGATTTCCAGCTTTCCGCGAGCTTTATTTTCGAGGGATTTTTCCGTTCCTGTTTAGCTGTCCTGTTGGTCGCGCAGAACAACTTTCGACCGACTCGATTGATTTAAACACTCTCCGATATAGGGAATAATATTTTATACTTGACACTCAGCAGTTACTATTACTTACACGTCATTATGTCGCTTATACGACGATTTCTAGAATTAAGTATAGTCTCGACCGTCACGCTCTCGTTCTTGTTTCATTCATTTAAGCGAGAAGTAGCGTAATCTAATATTAACAGTAATTTGATCACATACATACACCAATAGACGATAGAATGATAACGATTGCTAACGACACAACTTGCGAATGTATAGGCGATTCCCTGTTCTGTAAATAGCAATTCGGAAATAAAACTGATTGAGGAGAAGGATACGACGCGCGAAAATGTAGAATGGACTTGTGAACTTAAGCAAATTCAGACTTATGAACTACGTATTTCACGTCTCCGAAGGCGAGGCTTATCTTTTACTGAATTCATTGAAGTCGTCGACGTTTTTTTATACACGCCTAAATTTCACGATTCGCCAAATACACCGTCGAATTTTCTTTCATGACATTTGTAATTCTGTGTGTAATTCGGTGGGCGATCAATATCGTCGTCGGTTATTAGCTAATATAACGATTGACGTCGTTTGAAAACTTTTAAGAAGCAATCAGCTGATTCGTCGAGAAACGACGATCGAAGGAAATTAGGATTAGAGTCCTTAACAAAGAGTCTTTCATCCAGCGAGGAATTGTAGCAACCGAAACTAAACGATTGAAACTCTAGACTATGAACGAGATTTGATTCTATGATGTTGAATTACCTTACGTTATCTTATAATAGTTAACAAACTTTTTGCTTAAATAATTTATACTGCGTTTCTTGTATACGATGATTTCATTCTATGAATAACTCTATACATACATATGCATATATATATATATATATACATACATAGAAAATTCTACATATAAAGCGTACACACACGAGAGTCATGTTATCATGTTTCAATATATTGTAAGTGACTACTCGATTTAAATGAAAAGCACGCTGAATGCAGAAAAATGAAAAAAACTGTACAAAAGCATCACACCGAAGATTTGCTGTTATTGTCACCTCACCTCCGGCACGAGAGAGACACAGAAAAAAAGTACGGACGCAAAACCAGCAACTGCCCTAGGAAGAGACAGGCTAATCTCGCAAAGAGCGAATGGGCAAATAAGCGATTAATGAGCGAAAGATCGTCTCAATAGTGTAGCGATGAAGTAGGTATGAAGCTTTTTTACGAAATCCTAGTAGATTAGAGATTACTACCCGCTCGGGCGATCTGCTGGGTTCTCGTGGATCTACCGAGCCACACCACCACCACCATTTATCCATTACCCTTCGTTCACGGATTTTTCGATCGAATTTGAAGCTGGTTCTTTGTTAACGAAAACCTCGAGAGGTGAAAACGATAGTTGCAATCCTGAAAGAAAAGAAGTTGATTTTAGGAATGCAAATTTTTTATAGTTCAAGGAAAACTAGAAGGATATTTAATATCTTGAAAACGAGAAAAAATTCAAGGTTATAATAATCCTCGGTATTTTCGCTAAAAGAAAATCGACTTCAGATTTATCGAAAAAATCCATGAACGAAGGGTAATGATTAGGGGGTCTGAGAAACCATAGAATCCAAGATTCAAAATATTATAAAGATAAATAATTACAAAAAATATGCAGATTTAAGAAAGTATAAGGTTTGATTCACAACATTGAAGGTTTAAAAAAAAATAGATTAAAGAGTATCGTAGAAAAATCCAAAAGGAAAGCTCTTTTTAAGAAGATCGCAAATTCTATAGTTTCACTATAACGTCTCACTATTCCAAAGAAATAGTTCTAACATTTCACTCCTTGCGTCATACTTAAGCGTAGCATTGCAAGCAATTGACGTAACTATAGCTCGAGATAAATGTGTGAGTCTTCATATATATCTCGTCCGTTTCCCTGTACTATATAATAATGAGCGAAAAAATGAATCGAAAAATTCAGGCCGAAGTTAAGTTCCATTCGCGACGTATCTATTCCATCTTAACTCGATCATAGTATATCGTTTATAGTATTATAATACTACTAATCAAGTGCTATACACTAAATTAAGAAACGATGTAAGTACAACTAGAGCATAACACAAAGTCTATCAGCGGCGTGTTTGGATACTCAGAATACTAATCTAATGAAAAATTTGACGAAAACTGAGTTTATTTCACAGGCGTAACGACAAGCTGAGATACTTAGGAAACAATGAATGAAAGAGAGAAAAAGAGAGACAAAAACATAGAAAGAATATCGCCCCTCCAGCAAGAGAGAGAACATGCCAAAATCTTTAAACGAAAAAATAGCCCGAGAAAAAGAAAACTGATAAAAGTAACTTTGATAAAGTTATTATCCTTGATTGCACGGTTGCTTCGTTGATAGTCAATACAAACTCGAGTAATATGTACAAATTAGTGTCCTTCGCTTTATGAACAATTGCTTCACGTTTACAACCCCTATATAATATGTAATATTTACTCGACATATATATACATATATATTGAATTTATCATGTATAGTCTTTTCTTATACACACAATTTTTTTCATCGCGATTTTTCTGATTTATCGAGTAAAGATAGATCGATGTCGTGCATATTTGATGACATGAATATTATCAAGAGAAGTACAGAAATTCGTTAAGATCTGCGACGCGAGAAAATGCAAGGGAAAGCAAGCAAGAAAAGTAACGAGACTCCTATGAGAGTCGCGCCAAACGCGCATAAAGAGCAAAAGCATTGTAAATGTTAAATGAAATCAAATGCTCGAGTAGACCTCAACCCAAAAGCTCAGGTGAGTAAATACAAATAAATATCTATCCGTACTTTGTGACAAACTATCAATTTCGAGGAAGAGGGAAGGAAAGAGAGAGAGGAAGAGGAAGAATGTATTTATGATAAGAATGGAAAGGCTCTTAGATGTGTGTATGTGTGTGTATGTGTGTGTTTAGTCACAAAAGAAACGTGGAATGCAGATATTAATGTATGTAAATAAAAGTGACGAGCAAGCGAAGTCAGGTAGAGGATAATCACATTTTCAAATTTTAAAACGAACGATTAGGCCTAAAGGGGAAACTAAAATTAATTTCGTGATAAGCTATTTCTCGTTATAATGAAATAAAAAGAAAAGTTTACTTATTAAAGTCGAAGCATCGAGCCTCGCAGAATATTCCTCGCGACGAGGGAAAAACAAGGTCCATTGATTTCGTCAAGAAAATAGAAAGAGACCTTAGTTTTCCAGATCTGCGCAGGGTTTGTTAAATACTAGTTGAAGACGGACCGATGACAAAAATAAAAATCTATTACGAGTGTAACAAAAAAGATATCAAAAGAATAATAATCGATTGCGCAAATGTAATTAGACAGATTTAGATTTACTATTAGTAAGATCCCTGCACCGTGAGAATATTCTCGAGCGACCATAAAACTCGTTAGATCTTAAGTCTAATGAAAACTGTCGAAAGACGATATCAGAGACAATGATCTAGCGATCTATCCCGAGCCGGGGAAAGTTCCTAAACATTAGACACGTGGCACCTGACGGAAACAGTCGCACGATTCAAACTCGACTTTCTCTATAATAAATGTTATTTAACATTTCCTGCGATATTGAAAGTTTAGTGTATATATTATCTTTGAAAATTCTTGTCAATCTCAATCAATTCTTATTTCGTCGTTTTTCTTTTTCTTTTGTTTTACTTTTTCTGCGCCCAAGGAGATTCGAGATTAGACCGAAATGTTCGTTTTGAGATCTGAAAGTCTATCCCTCTTTCTGTGACTTCGCTCTTTGGTCAATAAGTGTTCATGAAAATACGAAAATTAATTGAAACAGACGAGCACTTCAACTGCTGCATTTATCGAGCATAAAGTGTATTCATTTAGTAGAATACTTATAGATGAGATTGTGAAAAAAAAACACGTAGGCGATATGCGTATTTGATCGAAACATTTGCGAAACAAAAGTCTATTTAACAAACGGAGTTGCGTTTCTTTATATTTATGTCTCTCATATGAACGTTATACACAAGCTAAGAGATAAAAGAAAAGAGGAAAAAAGATATTTACAAGGCCGAGTAAAAGCGTGCGTTAGGAGAAAAATGGAGGCGAGATTTCATAGAGATTCGCACTTTTCACAAAAATAATTCACGGTAGTGATGTTGTTACCGTGTTATATCATTACCGCCGCAGAAGTTCAAGAGTTATCTGCAGACATAGAATATATAACTTTTCGTGTGAAACGAGTTCCCGTAGACGAATCATTTTATGGTTTTGTATGCACGATAGCTGGAGCACAGTTAATAATTCGTTAGGCGTTAAATTGTTCCGAAAAAAAAGAAAAGGAAATTAAGAGCGGTGATAATCATCTAGCTTGTCCACTTTTGAGACTTTCGATAGAGAGAAGGATAAGCACGACTAGAAAGACTGATCAGAGTACAATTCAGTGATATTGATTTTGTCACTAATCGAGAGCAGACAAGTCATTCGAGTAAGCAAACAATAATAGTCGCAAACGATAACCCTTGAAGACTACGAAACGATAGATAAGATCGAACTTTTTAACTAGCGTTAAAACTTAATGATGAGTATAGATTGATTTGACTGAATGTAATGGTCGTTTGCTCGGCTTCTTTATTTGATTTGCTGTTGTTGCTTTCTCTAGGCTCTCGCAACTATAACCGCGATACGTGATCATCCGCATCGTGGGAATCGTCGACGATGATTGCCACATGACTGGTATTCTGCATCTTCGATGACACGTCCCCGAAAAGTCGTGACTGCATCGACTCGAGGACTACAAAGAAACTATATGGTATCCTCGGGCTGTCCATGTGCCTAGGCCACGGATATCGCGCTCTTCCCAACACTGCTAACGAAGTTTTCATATAAGTGCGTGGATCACTGATGAGAGAGATCCACGTTGTCAAACTTGTATATAATATTTCTGAAATTATTATACAATTAGATCAAGTTGAAAGACGGCATGGTATTTGTCTGAGACGTTTTTATTTATATTTGTAAGTAAACTTAATATAATTGATTGGTACAACAAACCTGATTGTAATATATAAATGATAATAAAAGATCGTTTGACACTTATATCACATGTTGCAGAGTTATTTACGAAACGAATGAAACTTCATTTTGTCTTCGCAGCTTGTTTTCTTCAACTAGCATTCCAGGATCTAGGCATATTTTTATATTGGTGAGAGACGACTTCAGGATTCAATTTCAACGATATGTAGAATCATTTATCTAACTTTATAACCTAAAATAAATTTAGGAAAGTTGAATAAGCTCTAATAAAATGTAATCAATATAAAAAAATTTAGGATCTTTAAACACACTGTTGTTACTATGACTCCTGCAGATCCTTAAATCGTTAGATTTATTCACGTAACCTAAATTACAAAACACTTCGTATTGGCAAAATATAATGTCCTGTAAAACAAGGACTAGGTTATTTTGCGAACGATATAAGTTACATCAAAAACCATGAAAGTATTACGAAATTTCAAACAACTTCCGTTTTTCCCGCTATAAACTATCAACGTTAATCGATTTATAAAATATCGATAATCGATTCTTCGCTTGCACTAGTGCAAGAAAGTGCAGACAAGTGGAACGATGCTAACGGCTCCTACACATAGGACGCGGTAGCCAATAAACTTCCAGCTCTTAGGGAAAAACGGTACGTTGATTGGTTACCTTGCCGCGTGGCAAGCACTTCCGCGTTCTGTGTATAGGAGCCAATAAGTTGTCATTCACCGTGATGAGCGCGACGAATACGGTTTTCAAGAGTTGTTACATACTTAGCATAGATAAGTCTTCGCCAAATATCTTTCTGCCGGATAACGAGCCGATTTTCGTGGGTCGCTCACCGGAAACTGGCGTTACAGACACAAAATGTTCGCGACAACAAGGTTATGTATCTTTGAAACATTAATTTCTGTCGTCAGCACTAGTCATAATCTGAAGTTTACTCGTTATGAATTATAAGTTTTGGTTTTTATTTAAACAAAAAAAAATATATATATTGAGTAATTTAGTGAAATCCACTTAATTTGCATGATAACGTGAATGTATTTGTTTTTATGTATGTTAAATAAATATATTTTATCCCAATTCGCAATATATATCACTGATGTAACTCATTGTACTGATTCTGTCTGAACAGTGCGTTTATGCGCAAATTATACAGAGGCTATTATCACAGTTCAACAAGTGGGTCAGCACCCCTGTGGTTTTAACGGCTTCAGAACTCAGAAGGATGTGAGATTTGTGGCTAGACATAGCGATCATTTGGAACTGTTGTATGGCAAGTATGCCTATGAATTTGAATTCAACCCACCGCCACTTACAAGAAGTTTCATATCAAGAAAGAGGTTTTATGACCTACAGACAAGTGAAACTGAAAACAAAGCTAAGATGTTGAAATTGGGCAATTATTCAGATGAAGAACTGGAATGTAACAGAGATGAGGAAAAATTATCTTCGAGTAATATTCACCTTGATCAGAAAACATTGCATACTGAATGTAGCATATCTTCTGAAGAAAACAATAGTAATTCAAATATGCCTGCGAAATGGGAAAGCATTGACAATGGAAAATTAATGATTTATACAGCATCTTCTGTTCAAAATCAATCAAAAGTAATTTTATTTATTATATATTTATTTAATACTTGAGTATGTATAGTAATATATGGCATAATATTAAATATATCAATGAGGTTATTTAATATATCAGTTATTTTTAATTCTATCTACATATAAATAATATACATACATTACATATATATTACATTATTGAATAATATATACTTACATGTATCTAATAATTTTACAGTTATTTTGAAATGTTAATTTACAGTATTTATCTACAGTGATGCTAATAATAGACCTTAATTTCAGGTGGCAGCTTACGATATGGATGGTACTTTAATTAAAACTAAATCTGGCCTGGTGTTTCCAAAAGACTGCAACGACTGGCAATTATTATATCCTGATGTACCTGGTAAATTGAAGCAGTTCCATGCAAATGGGTATAAGATAGTAATATTCACGAACCAAGCGGGCCTTCGCACAGGCAAAGTCAAGATTAGTGATTTTAAAATTAAGATTGAGAGAATCGTACACAAAATCGGTATACCCATCCAGGTAGGTACATTTATATCTTTATTTTTCAACTTCAGCTTTTTACAGTGTCAAGAAGTTTCTTTGTCTTTTATACATTTTTTTTATATATGCCTTTTTTTTCATTTTTCCTTTTTATCGCATCTTAACCTATTTATATCTTAACCTACTTCATTTTCCTCTTGCCTTATATACTTTCCTTATCCTAGGTGTATCTTAACCTATACTGGCAAATTATATCCTTTTAGATTTCTTATCCTTAGATTTCTATACTCTTGGAGGTTTTGCCAAGCCTACCAAGGGGAGTGCGAGCGTACAAAAAATTTTCTTTTCCTCTGGGAATCGAGCATGGTAGACTAGTCTATAGTCCACTGTGCTACGCTTGCACTCCCCATCCAAATAGGTATTACAAGCAATACTTTCTGTAATTACAACTATATATACTAATGTAACTAATTACATTTCGAATTATGACTGCTTGCTAATTATGACTGCTTCATTGTAGGTTTTTATCGCTGTGGGAATAAGCATCTACAGAAAACCGGCGATTGGTATGTGGGAAATATTAGAGAAAGAGGTAGGTATGCTAAATATGGCATTTCAGTATCTGGTACCTTGAGCTATAGTTTTCAAGATATTTCATGATGTCGATAATGGTAGAAGAACGGAGGTACAGCAATCGACAAAGCGAATTCATTCTACGTCGGCGACGCGGCTGGTCGACCGAAAAACTGGGCCGTTGGAAAGAAAAAGGATCATTCCACTGTAGATCGATTAATGGCGTTAAATTTGAACGTCAAATTTGAAACACCCGAGGAGCACTTTCTGAAGCACAAAGTTGCCCCTTACGTATTACCTGAGTTCAATCCCAAAAATCTGCCTAAAGACTGTAACGTGTGTAAACCTGCAGACGCAAATCTAACGCCAAAACAACAAGAGGTCGGCAATACATAATTTTTTACAAAATTATTAAACTACCTAAAAATTACTTCTGTCATTACACGAAATTCAAGTTTGTAATTTCTTCAAATATCTTTGTAATTAAAAACTGTAATATATAGATTAATACGATTATAGTATAAAATTAGAGGAAATTAAATTATCACACAATATATTATTCTCTTCTTTAAATTTGACATACTAAAACTCATTAAATAAATAGTTCCATTTAATTATTGTAAGGTTGCGTTCCAGTTATCGATTGTATTTATCATTGTATTGGATCTCTTTATTTACAGATTATACTTATGGTTGGCAGTCCAGGCTCCGGAAAGTCGCACTTCGCAAAGCATTACTTAAAGGAATATGAATACGTGAACAGAGATACTTTGGGTAGTTGGCAGAAGTGTACCAGCATGGTTGATCAGTATTTAAATAAGGGCAAAAGTGTAGTTATAGATAATACTAATCCCGATCCGGCCTCGAGAAAGAGATATACGGAAGTAGCCAAGAAGTACAAGATTCCAGTCCGATGTTTTGTCATGACGACGAATATAGCGCATGCGAAACACAATAATAAGGTATTCTAAGTATTAATAGTATAACAATTTCATAAAACACTTTAGTGTTATACGTGAAGAAAAATCTTAGAAGATTTTTTCACAATGATTAAATATAATAGTAAATGCAATTGTTAACTAAAACGTGATTTTACAATCAAAAGATAATACACACTACTTATTTAAATATAATATATAAAATTTAGAAGAGAAAACGAACAATTTTTCTCATTTAATTCTACCTAATTTTAAACGAAAAATCTCTATACATTATAGTTTTTAATCAAACAAAGATATCTGAAACAATTATTATGTATTGCCGACCTCGTGTTGCTTCAGCTTTCTGATTAAAACACGCTGCATTTCCTTCTTCTTAATTTTATCTTTTCCTCGTAGTTTCGGGAGTTAACTGATCCAAACCACATTGCAGTTAACGAGATTATTATCAACTCTTACATGTAAGTGGATATTCCGTATAGAATATTTAAATATATATTCTTTTTTTGAATATAAGATTACATTTATTTCATATTAGTTATCGCTTAAAGATATCAATGTGTGTGTGCGATATTTAGTTATTAGTCATAATATCTGTTCAAAATGTTCTATGTTCTTTTGCAGGAAAAATTATGTAACTCCGTCATTGGAAGAAGGATACAAGGAGATAGTAGAGATCAATTTCGTTCCGAAGTTCTTAAATGAGCAAGACCAAAGACTCTACGAAATGTACTTACTTGAAAGTTAAGCTAAGTGATACAGATTGCTCGGAAAAATAATGAATTAGCGATTAATGGGATCAGCTCGTTGCCTGCATATAAAACTGCTATTTTTAATGTAATAATGTCAGCAATAAAAATATTTGATTAATACGTATTCATTACGATGCTATTTATCTGTTTAAATATAATCTACAGGTCGTGTGTAAAATTCGCAAAACGTAAATGCGTCGTTTTGCTCCAATATTCGACGTCTGAGCCAAGTCAAGATTCGATAACAACGGAACGAAGAATCGTCTCGTTCTTCAAAACTTTCACCGTCTCTTTATCAGTTCTATTATTAGTCCCAATTTTATATTCATATGCAATCACACGATGTTCTGTACGCCCAAATCCAAATAGATACGGCCTTCAGAAACCGGTATCAAATCTGTGATCCCTTCAGACCCCTTTAGAATCCCCCCAGTCTCCCCCTAAATACTTCGATTGTTAAGCTAGGCAAACCCCAGTAGACCAATGGCGATGCCACGTGATCTCGAATAACGAGACACGCTCGATGCGGCCGCTCAGTATCCGCGCAGTCGTCGTTGCGGCCGGTCTCATTTCCCCCTTGATTCCCGTTTATTATATGCATGTACATATGAATGCAGCCTGTGCGTCACAAGAGAGGTTCGTGAGTACAAGTGAGCGCGTGGAACGTGATCGCGTATAACGAGTTGTTTTCCGTAAGCGGCGTAAAGTGACTGCGACGACGAACCCAAGGCTCTGATCAGGTGAAAGTCAGGCTTTATTGATACGCGAAGCTCTTCTCCACGAGCGATTTAACGTCCATCGTGCTCACGAGTAATATCTGACGTATTGTTTTCGATTCCTCGACCTCTGCGAGGTCTCTTCTGCCAAAAATAGTCTTGTCACTTGTCGTATAATCCGGGTAATTCACGTCTACATATTTGATCGTAAAATAATGATTTACGATGTTGCACAATGATAAATGATATATCTCATTATGATGTAAATTTGCTTCTGTGTTGTGTAAACTTTGTTTTAGTTACTCCGTGAATGCGAACGCGCGCGCGTGCATTAACGATAACGATAACGATAGAATTCAACTAACGTAATAATCTAGCGATTGTATCGAGTCTCGAAATTTTTAAAACACGCGAGTCTTATTTAATTGTCGCGAAATTCTCAGTTCAAGGAGTCGATCTGCTTAGAGAGAAAATTTGATTGCTTGGTACATTTCCGGTCATAATGTTCTCTTCGCCAAGTCGCTCTTATTATGTAACTTTTATGATGCGATTATAATCACTCGCGCATTATAGAGCGCCGAAAGTAAAAGATATAAAAATAGTTTTTCACGTTTCTGACATTCTCCCAATGTTTCATCGCTTTTATTTGTTGTGATAAGAGACTAGTGTGGGCTCATGAGTGACTTAAATATTTCGGAAAGGTGCAACAATAGTTATCGTTAATTAAAGATTTACTATATATCTCGTTGGAAAATGCTCAGTCCAAAAGTCTAAAAAAGAAATTGAAAAAATAAGATGCCTTTGGCAACTTGTGTTGGTCAGGGCAATATTTGAAAGTGTTCCACGCGTGAAAGTCGTGACACGTGACAATGCGCGATATTCGGGACATGTGATGTTTATATTTGCGTAATGCTTGTTTAACCGTGTCTATATAAGTCATACATGCAAGTCATATATATATATATATATATATATATATATATATATATATATATATGACACAAAAAAATGTTCTTCTTTCTTTCAGCAACCCCTATTAAGATAATTGTTACTATTTCTGTCTCATTATTGTTACTATTATCATTATTGCGATTATTTCTCTATTGTTATTCTTGTTGTTGTTACTTTACATTACTGCCATTACTATATTATTTAATTATCAGTATTATTATTTTTTCCATATATTATTGTTGCATCTTTCTATTAAAATAGCGCGGTGTTTGAAACAGCCGATAGTTATAATTGCTTCCAAATCGTTATTTGCATGTAAGTCGCCTCTACTGAACGCATCCATTCCCGTATACCGTGCGTCACGGAAAGATTACGTCGCGAGTCAAGTCGTGGATTCGCAAGTATGCTCGTCATGATGTGTCGCGACTACGTCATCTCGTGTCGAGTGTCTCGAAATATCATGCACGACGTTGCCGCACGAGAATCACTCGTGTCGAAGTAGGCACGGTCTGTGTTCTTGAATTGTATTAGTTTGGTCTAAAAGATCTCGTCATTTTTCTCTCATTGAATTCTCATAAGAAGTTTCAATATCAAAAAGAAAACAAGAAGTCAGATATCTAAAAAGATATCGAGACAATATTTTGCTTATTTTATTCATAAAAATTATTAATTCTTTGAAATTAGATAATTCTATTTTCTTGTTTTATTTAACAAACATTTCTTTTAACACATAAATCTTTTGCACCAATTTAATATATCTTAATTTTCCTATCTACATGAATTTTACGAATTAATGGAGCAAAGTAACACTTAAGATAAAAATACACTATCAAAAACTGAGACTTCATATCGATATTCTTTTTTCAATATCAAGTCTTGGTTTTCGATATCAATACTATTATCTTGATTTTTATCTTGCTCTATTGAGTCAGGAACTTGGATTGTGGAAGTTGTGTAGTTGATTGGAAACAAATAAATTAGGTACGTGCAGGAATAAATGTTTATGAGTGCTTATTTTCCAAAGCGAACAAATTATTACTGTCATTAATATCAATGTAACAGAATTCATGAAATCTCAAACCTCTACTGTTATGCACATTAGTTACGTTTGAGCTGTTATAATTGAACGAAATTTTAAAGTGTAGAATGCATGACGTATATACATATGTTAATATAATAGCATAATGGTACAATAGTTACATGGAAGAAAATTCCAGTTCTTGTAATTGAAAACCGGATGAAAAATAATATCTCTGTTATTGTGACAAAAAACATTCGTCTGAATATTCAGTTGCATTAAAATTCGACTGAGGTAATTTAGAACAATTAGCTAAATAAAAACTTCCTACAAGAATCTTCCTGTTCTTACAAAAGTTTTTTTATTTGATTCTCAGATAACATCTGGAGTATTCAGTTACACTAATAAAGTTGTTTTTTCCGTATAATAGTATTAAAATATACGTTAACCATTCAAAGAAAAAGAAAATAGCATCACGAATAGAAAGAGAGAGAAGACTTTAGAAATTTGATGATTCGACAAATAGTGAAATAGATACTTAAAAGCACAAAACTGTTCGTCACGTGAAGCACGCATGCCGTGTGCACGTTAAGCTGTAGTCATGCATTCGTAAACACGGAAATTTACTCGTGCTTCATATGTAAATTTATCAGTGTAAGCGGTACTTTCCGCGAAGAAACTGTTGTAGTTCAAGTCCCCTTTACAGTACAAAGAGCACATATGGCAGTCGTTCGATAAAGAAGTACGAATTGAAAAATGGAATATTAACAAATTCCTAAGAAAAAAAAAACAGTTGGTGAAAGAAAGGTTGCAGAATACATTTGGCGATTAAAAAATCACTCTCGCAAAATATCACAAGTAAAATCAAAATTAGTGGTTGTCAGTAGTTTTTACGTCTGCTAGTTAAATTTTACGCGAAAGCTATTCTCGAAGCTCTCAGAACCAGTTCGAAAGATGTTCACAACGCAAACAAAGACTTATTTACACCACCTGAAAAGACACAAGGACGCTCGAGATAAAGTGAACTTAATTGAGAGATAAATTGAATCGATTTGCAAGTTGATGCCTGTTTGATCATTACGAGAATCACAGTGCGCGACAATTAGTGGAGCAACTCGAGAGAGGATTCTACGATTGTACGAAGAGTGGTCGCTTTTCCTATTTGTTTTTTTCCTTATTTGTTTTTTTTTAGGAATTCGTTAACATATTCCATTTTTCTATTCGTATTTCTCTGTCAAACAATTGCTATCGTATGTACTCAGTTGTAATAGTTTTAACTTACCTAGGACTTAAAAAATCAACGACGGTCCATTTCAGTTCAATGATTTTCGCACGTCAGTCTTCGAGATCGAGCCGATCGAACGATCAAAGAAGTCGCCGGACAATACGAGGTGAAAACGCTCGCGAAACTCTTTTTGCTACTCCACAATGTTGCTCGTTCGCTCACACCTCAATCGTGAATCACGAGACACAAGGTTGAGCTCGATGATTACGCGTATCATCGCGCGTGCGAATCGTCGTGTTCGGCTAAGTCGTCCGGATCTTCGTAACGCACAATGCGCCTTCGCGTCGTGTAACAATAATCGTCCGTAATTAATTTAATAGGCTCCATAGCTTGCGCACGCTCACGAGGTCGTCGTAACTCTCACATACGAGAAACATACGAATCCGATTTCGATTCAGTTTCTAAAGTTTGTAGTGGCATAATCGTTGTTTAAAACATCTCATGTGGGATACTCGGATTCAATATTAGATCTTTGTTTCTCAGTTAAATTAATACGCGTGATTTTATATTTGTAATCGCGATTCAACTAAGAAGCTTTCATCTAACTCTGAATTTAAATTTAAGTAACTTACTTGAACTTTAAGTAACTAAATTAATACGTACCTAAATCATAACAACGACTTTGAACCCAGCGATATAAATCGACAATCATTTCTCTTCAACTGTCAATTTATTTAATTTGTTCTTTCCCATATAGAACTATAATTTTTATCGTGTGATCGTTCGTTGTTAGAATCATATAATCGCACGTTGAACTAAATCAAATATTAAATTAATTTATAATCTCTCCAAAGAATGCGCATTTCATTTGTCAGCAATTTTTTTTTTTAAATACTTGATTTGTATCAATGAACAACTAAGGAGGGCCCGCATGTTGATATTATTACTGGCTACGGTCATGCCTTCTTGATGAACGATTCACTTGCAACTGTAATATGGTGAGTCGCGCGTTTCTATTAAGAAAACGAGCGAATTATGTAATGTTACGAACTATTCTGCGAACGCGACCGTCGTTGATTAGTCTATTCTGGCCACTGATCGCGAAACGCGTAATTCACCGAACATACACTATTGTCGTACTCTTGGTGTCGTGACTGTATCATGGACTTTGTGTGAGACTGAGCCGCGCGAACGTCTCTTAGTGTATAACAAGGCAAAGAAAACGTTGTAAATTTATAGGGTTATAATTTATATAGGATTGTATATAATGATTATCTTTGGGTATTAGAATAATTTATATGTGTTTGCAATTTTATGAGGATCAACTTTGTTGACTGTTTTTAATATGTCGACGGAGGTTTTAATACTAAGGTTTTAATACTAAGTAACTGAATAATATAATATACTATAGTAATACTAAACAATAATTGTAATACTATAGTAATATTAATTAAAATTAGCAATTATAATATTGTAGCGATATAAACTATAATAATGATATAATAATGACGAAAGAAAGGATAAATTGTAATAAAAATTATGGTGATATGCTGTCAATATTATTCCATTCTTCGAAACTTGGCGGAATCTTTGACATGTAGAAGGTGGTTGTGTCGAATGCCAATGTTTCAGGTTACATTCAACCTACAATGAATAATCACTGTGACATAAGATTTTGTGGGATATGAGCCGGATATGTACAAACGATAATAATAACATATCAAGATTAAATTGCTTACATTATATCATATTGCTGCATTATAATCGCCGAATTCCTGGTAATGCTGCGGTCTCGTTACATAAATATTTACGTTATATTTATATTAAGTTATATGAGAATTATTCGAGATTTATCGCGAAAATTTGAATGGGAAACGCAGTTTGAAAGTGCGTCTTCCATGTGGAAATTGTTTTAATCGCAATTCGCGTTGATATTGAATGTAACATCGGTTCTTGGTGATTACCTCTAATGATGATTTAATAATTTAATATTGATATATAATCACATAAAAAAAGACAATACATTCTCTGTAAATAATAACTGATGAGAAGTTGCGTGTGATTTCTCATGAAGAAGCGAGTAAAGAATTTAAAATGGATATTATCACTCGGTCGTTGTCGAGACCGACAAAGTGATGTTAAATATAAAGAGCATCTTGTCCCTGTTTGTTCATACGTTTGTTCATACGTTAACGTTCTCTTGCGTGTCTATGAATTGGTAAGACGTTCCTTGTATGTGTTACTCATACTCATAGTTTATTTACATAATATTTACTGTAATTCGAGATTGTAACAGAAGATGTGGTAATGACGTTTATGTAATATATCTTGGCGAAAATAAATTTGTATCATAGGAAAGGTACGTCTCTATCGTGTTATAACGATAACACATTATGTTTCGTAATATTGAATCATGTAATATAAACACGACAATGAAGCAACGAAGCAACATCAATGAACGGGCAAAGTTTCAAGCACAGCTTTGCATCTATCTCGATATTGTAATTTTTGCAAAAGTCGTATTTTTAACGTCTACTATGTAAATTATGTATCTAACGAATTCGACGGTTCATAATCGTCGAATCGTTGCACCCTAAACGAGAGAGGCGATGTGTAGTATTCGAGTTTAAACAACGAATATCATAAACTCGAATTTGAATCAGGAGGATGTGAGGACGCGAAGAACATGTGTTAAACTCGATTACGAAACGCGTTTCCATTTAATTTGAAAAAAAAATAATATTCGTTAATAAAATAATTAAAGATGGAATAAAAAATTTGATCGAATTAACCAAATGTCTAGCAAAATTGAGCAAAGCAGAAATCTCGGTTGAAGTCGCCAGAATTCCGTTCGAATTAACAGGACTTCTGATTGAGCAGAACTTGCAACTGTTCAACTCGAACAGTCGTAAGTTCTGATTAATCAAAGGTCTCACCTGTTTAATCAGAGTCTTGTTAACTCAAACACTATAAATGTTGATGACTTCGATCGAAATTCCTGTTCGTTCGCATTTCTAAGCGGACATCTGATTAATCCAAACAAATTTATTTGTCCGTGTATAAATATAAAGTCGTTACCGGGACAATTTGTCGCAATTGTCTCGATGATACTATATATCATAGCGATACTATATATCATAATGTCTGGGTTCAATTTAATGCATCGACGTTGATGTTTGCGTTGCGGTTCTTTGACAAAGCTTCGTGAACGTTCGTGCTGTACAATAACGCTGAATCACTCATCGACTTTATCACTCACGTTATCACCCCACACCATATTGTTGGAAACACTGACAATGAAGCGCATGATACAGGATATTCCCTTGAAAATATGAATATTCAACCTTCTCTTGCGCGGCATAGGCGTTATCGAATTTCGCGAAAAGATTTCGCACTTCACGAAAAATATTATTATTCAAATTCGTCACCATGAGACGGATATATTTTTCACGACGTCGAGGAGTGTAATATAAGCTGTTGTTAAAAACGATTAAGACATCACTTTTAAAGCAACCATTCGTTCCTCATCGTTCCTAATCAGTGTTTAACATATCAATAGTTGCCGAATCTTACTTTCGAGAACTTCGTGCCGTAAATACTTCATATATTGATTGTCGTTTTATCTTTTGTTGACATTGCGTCGTTTGTTCTTCATCCTTCTTAACTTCAAATCGCTTATTATATTATTTTATATTGGCTGAATGGTGAGTCGAAAAAAATCTAGGTGTGTCTAGCGCGATATAGATTATCTAAGGGATCTTCGCAACTTTTATCACAAAATCGCTACGTTATCGTACGTTCAGTATTGATGAAGATAACAGTTATAAATTGTAACCGAAACAAATAGTTACAAAATTCAAGTTTGAAAGTCAAATTGTAATCGTAGGAAGAGCGAGAGTGCTCATAGCACACAAGGAAAAACAAGGTATAAACATTCACGCTGTTTTCTGACAATTGCGCGATGTGCAAATACGCTCGTTGTTCATTTAATTTACTGTTTAGTAAGATTATTTAGTAATGGCTGCGTTCAGCAGAGAAAGCTGCTTTGCAACTGTTGTAAAATTCATGAATTCGATTGGAGTATATTCTTAATTTTGGTTGAATCCAAGAGCATATACCAATCAGATTCACGAATTTTACAAGAGTTGTAAAGCAGCTTTCTCTGCTGAACGCAGCCAATATCTTCTTATCAGGAAAGCGCTAGCATAATATGCGTTTTTGTGTGAATTTATACAATAGTTACTGCGGTCTGATAAACTAGTTTATGAACGGTCATTTGAAGAGTAAACTCTAACAATTGCGGACGATCCAGGACGTATCAAAGGGGCATATAGCAGCGATAAGGAGATAGTTGGCAGTTTATTTATTGATGTCGTTATATATTTTGCGCGCATGATTCTCGACCGTGTCGCTCGTTAAACTGACGTATTTGCTCGCGTATTTTCCTCAAAACGTCAAGGCATTAAATTTTCCTTGTTTTTCCGGCAATTTAATCTTGATAGTTCAATGTTATTTCTTTCGATCTTTTTAATTCTGACTCCACAATCTCTAATCCTTTAACTTCATAAATTTTACTCCCTGACAAATATTTGCACATTTTCAACTTCTGATATCACCAAATTTTTCTTTATTTCTATCATTATGATTCTTTTATTATATTCGTCTTAGTTTCAGTTTGAGAGAATTCGCAACATTTGTTATCTTAATTTCGATGTTCTCTTAGTTTTGTTGAGTTTTTCATGTTAATTTCAGTATATAATTTTGCAAAATATTCCACCAAGAAATTGATTGTTGGATTAATGGCGACTATGCCTGTCAGCTGCGTGTCTTTATCAGTATGATAAATAGGTGTTGCGACACAACATAGCGATTGTGTGACTTTTCGTATTACCACTATAGCGTAGTGATACTGCAGGAAAATAAGTCGTGTGCCGTTCAGATAAGGCGGACAGGAGGTGCAAGGCGAATGATACGAATTTTTTCTTTTATATGCAGACAGACACGTCTCAAGAGTCACTCGCACGTAAGATCGATAAAGCGCTCATCATCTCGTAGATATTTGGAACTTTTTAACTTTAGCACATCGGTATACATTCCTTTATCTATATTTTTGTGTATCATCACGCGGAACAATCTATAATTCTTGGCGGATAAATCGATAATCGACCTCAAAAAATATTACCGAAATATTTGCCACACGCACGCGAGATTACTTGGGAAAGAAAATGACTTGTTATACTTTATTTTCAATATATGACTTATATTTAAAATACATAAAGTTAATTTAATTATAATCATTATACATAATATAATAATAATAATAAACAATGAACACAATATAATTGTTTACAAATTGTTTACAAATTGTTAACAGTGCACGAGCGGTCGACACAAAAATTCCAAGGAAGTACTCGAAGATAAGTTTCAAGAGCCTGCAGATAGCCGTGAGAATATCAATGTATTAGACTCGAGATATTTTGAATTTCTCTCTGACAGAATTATCAGGGAATCGGTTGTGATATCAGACAAAATCCTAAGTCTAAGAATAAATGATAAGTGTGAAGTGCTTGTTTCGAGGTTGATCACCGAAACGAAGTTGAATCACAGTGTAAGATCGTGACGTTTAAAAGAACGGTCTTCGTCGTCGTTCGTCACCTTGCGTAGGCTTCGGCGTGTGATGAATGAAACGAGAAAGCTACTGTGAGACCGAGGTGGCGAAGAAATCTTTCGTTCACGCTGAAGAACCGATTACGCGACGGACAGGAGTTGCTACATCACTTGATACTTAATTGCCGTGTATTCGATCAATTAATCGATTGTGTTGACTGAAGTGGCGAGTTCGCGGCAAGTTAATGCCGCGTGTAAGGACTGATGGATGCAACGAAAACGAAATCGAGACCAAACCCCAGAGAGAGGGCGAACATCTTGTCGGTGTTGCTATGGTGGTGAGTAATGATTCTTGTGAAGATTGCAATCAGTTGGTCTTTTTATATATCGAGTCTCTTACTCTGGTCCTATTAATAAAATCTTAATAACGACATAACACATAATTAATTAACATATGCAATTCGTTAAATCAGTACGAGTAAATCTGAGTTCTGAGACTGTCTGCACCGAGGAAAAAATACTTAAAAATTTGTTTGTGGGATATAAAATTATTTCTCCGTAAATAAAAGCTTATACTCCACAAGTGAATTCTTAAATATTTTCCTCCCAGTGTAGAACAACACAAGAACAGTTAGGTTTAATCGAGTTTGTTTGCGAATGTTCTCACGTCTTTGATAACTTTTATATTTGATTTCGATTATGATTGCGACGGTATCTAAACAAGCGAGACAGTACGCTGCGTGACATACAACATGTATTTTTCGGCAAACCAGTTCTTATCTTTCTGTAAATTTTGTCTTTGGAGATGACTGGGCACTTCTCTGGGCGAAGTCAGCAAGCGCTTTGTCACGCCGTTAAGACGCATGCTAGGTCGAGTCATTTTCGCATCCTTCATTTCGGGCTTTTCGTGCCGTCATTTTGTACTGAACGTTACATCATTCGTAAACCGATGCGATTCGATGTCTGATTTGCGAAAATCGCTTTCTGCCGAATCATAGCTGGACTATAAACCTATTCAGGACAGGATACAAGAAGAATCTCGAAACAGATGATTTGTACGATCCTTTGAAAGTTGACCGATCGAATTTACTCGGTGACCGATTAGAAAAGTGAGTACCAAAATTATACGAATGATAAAGAGAAAGAGATAACATTTAAAGATAATTAATTATTAACATCTTTTCACACAGATTCGATATCTCAGTTATTGCATAATGATTTCAATATCTTCTAAATCGCAATCTTTTTGATCGACTGTCGTATCTGGCGCTCTGAAATTTAAAAATTCCAGTATAATAACAATCGCACGAGCATTTTCCAAAATGTTTAACGTTATCCTTCATGATATCTTGCATAAAAATGAGATAACAATATCATAATTGATGACAATAAGATAATAATAACATGTCCGGCGTGATTGCAGACGATGGAAGATCGAGTTGGAAAATTCGAAGAGACGGAAACGTCGACCGAGCTTATTGAAGACCATTTTTCGCACATTCCTATGGGAGTACTCCATGCTGGGATTGGTGCAGCTACTCAACGAGTTCGTGCTAAGGTATCCGTCTATCATTTACTCCGTCCTTTTCCATTTCTTCATTAGACAACGGAACAACTTGGATCGTAATGAAAAGTTAAACGAGAATGAAGCACGAGCCACAACGACGTGACGATCATCGACATCCCAGTCGAAAGCCAAGCTGCGGTTAAATCTGAGTATACGCGATTGAAGCTTTATGTCGTCTTAAGCTTTTGTATCTCTCAGTAGCGTCTGGACAGTTTCAAGTGGAGACACGTGCAAGATTTCGGATCTTTTGCGTTTAAACGTGTGAAATATCTTATCCAGTGATTATCGGTAGCTATCAATTTATCGAGCGATAAATTGTTGAGTTGTAGAGTTGTCTCAAGTGGCATCTCGTAAAATCTACGACGTGGACATTCAAATGTTTTTACGACATCGAGTGTGATAAATAATGTAATGATGTGCTGTTATTAGCGATAATTTCATTTGTTATCTCACCGCAACAAGTCCGAGTCATAGAACGATATGCGGTGTGACGTATCGATTGCGCAAGAGTTAACGAGCAATTGATTTGCAGATTGGGCACGCCGTTGATGCTGGGAGGTCTCCTGCGCTACTTCCGCAAGGACTCCACACAGTCATACGAAATCGCTTTGTGTTACGCGGCTGGAATTTGTTTGGCAACCGCAATAAACGTTTTAAGCGGCAATCAGACGATCTTCGGCGCATTCCACGTGGGCGCGAAAGTTCGCGTGGCCGTCTGTTCCGTGGTGTATAGAAAGGTCGGTACGAGCGCCATGTTTTACGATTAATTTGAGAAATGCGGTTGTAAACGTTCCGAACACTCGCAGATTAAATCCGAAGTACGCGAAACGTCAAACAAATACTTGTAGATATTACATTAACTGCATTCTTGAACGATTCTTGGATTACAAGAGAGTAGCGAAAAAAGAGTAGAAAAAGATTGCTGTCAGAACGTTGGCGAAGAATCAACAACGTTGACGACCATTTGGTTGACAAATAGTTCGTTCCCGTCGAATGCGACGAGATCCATTTGACTCACAAATCGACACAATATGATGCAAAAGAACTCTCCTGGTAATCTCGATCATTCTACATACATGAACCACCAAGAAGTTTGTTAACCTCAAAGTATTTATAGGACAGCGAAAAGTCTAGAATTTTGAAGAGTCAGAAATTATTCCCGTTGCGACTGATCAGTAGATTAATTCCTCGGTTACATAAATGTGCGACACCGTGTCTTACATATTTCAGGCGCTGCGTCTGAGCAAAACCGCGCTGGGAGAGACGGCACCAGGAAAAGTGGTCAATTTAGTGGCCAACGATGTCAATAGATTTGATCTCGTCACTATTTTCATCCATTACATGTGGTCGGCACCTCTATCCGCCATGATAGTGGCATATATTCTCTACGTGGAAGTCGGATACGCTGGTCTTATCGGCATCGCCGCGATCTTCGTGGTCGTGCCGATTCAATGTGAGTCTTTCGTCAAGATTATTCAGTGTCAGAAAATTTTCCACCTGTCCCATTATCGAAGAGCCGCGTTTCAGCGCGAAAGATTCACGTGGTCTCGCGATTCCAGCTTACACCGGCAAGCTCTCGTCCAAATTCCGGCTGCAGACCGCCATCAAGACCGATGAGCGAGTGCGACTGATGGACGAGATCATCTCGGGGGTGCAGGTGATCAAGATGTACGCCTGGGAGAAGCCGTTCTGCGCCTTGGTTGAGCTGGCGCGCAAGTTGGAGCTGCGGGTTGTCACCAAGAGCTCGTATATCCGCGGTATCTATATGACTTTCAATCTCTTCAACACCCGCATGGCGCTCTACTGCACGCTCATCTCCATGCTCCTGTTCGGCCACGAGCTCTCCGCCGACAAAGTTTTCGTCATCTCGTCCTACTTCAACGTTCTCGCTCACACCATGTGTGGCATGTTTGTGCGAGGCTTCGCCGAGCTGGCAGAATGCATGGTGGCGATCCGCAGGCTCCAGCACTTCCTCATGTACGAGGAGTTCCAGGGCAACAATATCGTGGTCTCGAAGATGCTATCCAGCAGTTACAATGGTGGGATCAATGAGTACAAGCAAACTTTGAACAAAACACCCAAGCAGGACCTGCCTTACATCGACGATGAAGTGAGCAGCCACGAGGTTCGCGATGAAGCTGACTCGAAGAAACAGAACGGACTAGTGATCGTCGCCAGTGACTTACTGAGAAATACTGCCAGTATCATAGATGGTAAATTTGCTTAAAACGAGTTGAACATGTTAATTTATGCAGAAACTCATTTCCATTGTGATTAAGGCTAATAATTTTGCTCAAGAGAATCGCGACTGTGGTCGGACGATTAAAGATCACTTAATTGCATAATGAGAACGTTTTATCTGATAATGAAAACGTTTTATCTAGTGAAAATTTTTGATAATTTTGTCTACTGTTTTTCAAAAACTTGACAAATAGTAAGGGAATGTACAAAAATTTATAATAATATTGATAATAGAAGTATTTTCCTTTTATTTCTCAAGTTTCGGTCTTATCTCTATTAGGAAAAAAATAAGGAGAAACAAAGCGCTATTTAAAGTTTTTTAAAAATTAGTTCTTCTGAAAAAGAAGAATTTAACGTTTCTGCGACGCTCATGATATTCGCTATTTTCATCGATACAATCTTTGCAACTTTACAGAGAATAGACGGTCTTCCATACACGATGACAACTGGAGCGTCAAAATGACCAACGTCACTGCCAAATGGGAAGTCGGCCATTCGGAGAACACATTGGACAGTGTGAACTTATATTTAGAAAAGGGTAAATTGTACGGAGTGATCGGTATGGTGGGTAGCGGCAAGAGTTCGTTCTTGTCCGCCATTCTGAGTGAAATCACAATAGTAGAAGGCAAGGTGAAGGTAAACGGCGGCATAAGCTACGCTAGTCAGGAGGCCTGGGTGTTCGGCTCCACCATCAGACAGAACATCCTCTTCGGCCAGACCTACGACCGTTACAGATACCAAAAGGTGATTAAAGCCTGCGCCCTGCAGAAAGACTTCCAGCAATTCCCGCAGGGCGACCAGACCATCGTAGGTGAGCGAGGTAGCTCGTTATCTGGCGGTCAGAAGGCCAGGATCAATTTGGCTAGATCCCTCTACAGACAAGCGGATATCTATCTGTTGGACGATCCTTTGAGCGCGGTGAGTGACATGAAAGGAGTCGAGACATTAATTAAAGCTTTCCGGGCATGGGACTTTGCGAATATGACCCGCAATTACTATTAACGTTACGTAATTTTGCCTTGAAAATTTTGTATGACTCTTTTACTATTTCTTGGAAACTTAAGAGGTGTAGAGTTAACATGCTAAAGTTAATAACAACAGTAACAAATTTATCTCAATAAGGAATAATAAAAAAATCAAGTTAATTAAAGAATATAATTTTTTAATGATCTTTCTCATTATTCTTTCAAAACTTGAAAATAATTTTTGAAATCTAAAGTAGTACTAATAAGTAAAAATTAATAATAACATTGGTAACGACAGTAATTCTCTTTACTTCCTGAAAATTCAGTTTTATTTCAATGAAGCAACTTGTGTATAAATTTGGCTCTATTTCGCGATTCACCGAATGAGACTGATCGGTGACAACCGAACGAAATTTCAGGTTGACGCACATGTGAGCAAACATCTGTTCCAAGAGAGTATACAGAAATATCTGGCCAAGAAGACGAGAATTCTGGCCACGCATCAGTTGCAGTACATAAAGGGAGTGGACGGCATAATACTGCTCGAGCAAGGGAAAGTGAAGTACTTCTCGCGCTATGAAAATCTGTTGGAATATCGCCCCGAGTACGGGGAGCTTGTATCGACCGGGAAGAGCGGCACGGAGATGAGCGACGATTCGTCCATAGAAAGAAGCATGAAACGGCAATATTCCACCACGAGTAACAGAGTAAGTAAAGTTTACAGGAGTGTTGAATCATTCTGAGGATAAAATAAAGATTGATCATTGACAATTCAGCGTTCTCGCCACTGTTAACTTTCGATTAAGTGTCTCGCAAAGTAACATTCAAGAATATGAACGACATAAAGTCATGGTGAAAGTTCCAAAGTGATCAGACGATCTTCTCTCGGTAGAGTCGCACCCCGGAACCCAGCGGCACAGACGAAGAGGACACGATAGAGGACGAAGATCTCGAGAAACTAGGAAGCGGCCTCGAAGAGACGTCACGCGGCATGGTGAAGGGTCCTATATTTATCAAGTTTTTTCAAACCGGTGCCAATCTGTGCATGGCTTTCATCGTTCTATTGATGTTCATTATCACACAATTTGTGGTCAGTTTCAACGACTACTTTGTGCCTATCCTGTAAGTACCCATTAATACATTGCTAAACATACGGAAAGTGAATTAATTTACAAAATTAGCAAGAATTAGTACGTCTGTCTATCCACTCAACTGAATTCTCGACTTAAGGAACCCAATGAAGAAAGCATACTGCTTCGTAAAAATAGAAGCAGAAATTAATAATTTTAATAAGAAAAAGAAAAAATAAATTGGAATATAGAATTCGTAATTTCGATTTACTTGAAGGAATAATCGTTCCAACAGACAGTTGTTTCTGCATTCTAGTTTCTTACTTCTCTAACTCTACATTTTAATCTCGCAAAAACTATAAGACTATTGATACAATGCGTTTTTCACTTAATATTTTCATTCTTTACGCATTTGGTCGATGTTTCTTTTCATTATTAACATTTCTTATTGCTTGTTCGGTTCTTATTGCTTGTTTTCGTTTATGATTGACTTCCTTTTGTACATCTTTTCAGGATCACTGTTGAGGAGAATCGGCACTACTTGGCCAAGATGCAAACTTACAACCTTACGGATGACAACATAGTGAACGCGACGAGTTCCGATACGAACGCGTTATCGATGCACACGTATATCTATATTTACACGAGCATCGTGTTGGGCATCTTTATCGTCGGCATCACTAGATCGCTGTATTTCTACAAGACATGCATGACATGCAGCCAACGGCTGCACGATTTGATGTTCAGCGCACTGATCCGTACGGGGATGCGTTTCTTCGATACCAACCCGAGCGGCAGGATCCTCAACAGGTTCTCCAAGGACATGGGCGCGATCGACGAACTGTTGCCTAAGGCGATCTTAGACGCCGGCCAACTGAACATGATGATGTTCGGCGCATTAATAGTGACTTGTGTGATCAATCCTATGTTTCTGGTGCCTGTCGCGTTCATCAGCATCATATTTTACTGGATGAGAAAGATCTACCTCAAGACCAGCAAAAATGTCAAGCGGTTGGAAGGAATCAGTACGTCTGCCTATCCACTCAACTAAATTCTCGATTTCCTACGGAAATTCGTCTAAGTTTTTCGATCACTTGTTTATCTAATTTGCTTCCTAGTTTTCAACGATTTTAACGAATACCAAATAATTATTTTAATTTGTTGAATTTTCGATGCGTTTACAGTGCTTTTTCCTGCGTTAGATCAATCACACCAAATCTTCATCATTCTTTTAAAATTCATTTGTTTTGCATCCTTTGTATTTTCGTGATCTTTATTCTACGTTTTTCTCAAATACACCGGTCATACTTATTCCTAGTATGTCGATTTATTTTCTATAGGCATGATGGCTTTTGTTGCTACTGTGAATTTCGTATTACAGCACGGTCACCAGTGTTCACTCACTTGAACGCCACTTTGAACGGCCTGACGACTATTAGAGCGTACTGCGCTCAAGACATACTGAAACGAGAATTCGACAACCTGCAAGATCAACACACGTCCACCGCTTACATGTACATCGTGACGAGTACGGCGTTTGGATTTTTCCTCGACATATTTTGCTTCGTCTTCACATCGCTCGTCACCTTCAGTTTTCTGATTCTGAACAATTGTAAGTTTTAAGAGTCTTAATTTTCTAGATGATTACTTCATAAGATATATATTACTCATTAAGAAATCATCGAGGAAAAATCGTAAAATTTGATATTGAATATAGCTTCAACAGTTTTCGAATTTCCTTCTATTTCAGCTTAATTTCCGACTATTCGATCGGTCTAATAAAACGTCACGCATTGTTTTCCAGCATTTTCCGGCGGCGCGGTCGGACTGGCGATCACGCAGGTAATGGCCATGACCCAAATCATTCAATGGGGCATGCGACAAAGCGCGGAGGTGACTAACCAGATGATGGCGGTGGAACGCGTGCTTGAGTACATTCAACTTAAACCGGAACCGAATCTCAAAGATCGCGGGGTATGCCTAAAGTCGAAAAGAAAGGAGTATGTGGCACTGCCAGCCGCTGTTCCATCATCCTGGCCCAATCAAGGCTGCATCAAGTTCAAAGACGTCTATATGCATTACGTAGATGATCATCCGCCAGTCCTCAAAGGATTGAACCTTGTGATTCAGCCTGGACAAAAGGTACGAGGATTTTGCAGAAGAAAATCGATAAGGACAGATTTTGTCCGTGAAGAAAGATCTGAATATATAAATGAGTAGCAACATAATTAGGAGATGCTTGAAATGTCATGAAATTATTGCACAGATCGGTATCGTGGGGAGAACGGGTGCGGGAAAATCATCGCTGATAGCAGCGTTGTTTCGATTGGCAAAAGTGGAGGGTACCATTGAGATCGATGGCGTGGACACGGGTATGATCGCCTTGGATGACTTGCGACGCAAGATATCCATCATCCCCCAGGATCCAGTTCTCTTCTCGGGCACTCTGAGACGTAACCTGGACCCTTTCAATGAATTCCCCGATTGCGACTTATGGGCAGCTCTCGAGGAGGTACGATAAACTATTTCAAAACTGATGTCGAGATTTGAGAATTGTAAAATAATAGTCAACCAAACGCTACGTATATAAAACGTATTGCGAAGTCGTAACGTTCGGAAATTCCGAGTTCTTGAAATCCAAAATCCTGACGTTTTAAGAAACCTAAAAGAGTCCAAAAGTCTTTCGATTTCCAATTTCCGAAAGTTTCAAGATTCCGAGCTCCCAAGGTTGCAAGATTTTCAAAATCATGTTGCTTGAAAATCTCGAGGTTCTAATGCCTTTAGATTAAACGACTGAAAATACTTGACGAAATATTAATATCTTCCGTGTTTCAGGTTGAGCTGAAAGATGCAGTCGTCACTGTTGGGAACGGTTTGGAAGGTCGCGTGTTCGACCGAGGCAGTAATTACAGTGTTGGCCAGAGGCAGTTGGTCTGCTTGGCGAGAGCAATTCTGAGAAACAATCGTATATTGATGTTGGACGAGGCGACCGCGAACGTGGATCCGCACACGGATGCATTGATTCAACGTACTATCAGAAAGAAATTCGCAACTTGCACGATGTTGACAGTAGCGCATCGATTGAACACCATTATGGATAGCGACAAAGTGCTGGTGATGGATAAGGGTCGCCTAGTTGTAAGTACAATTTGCTTCGAGTCTTGGAATTTTACTACTCGATGATCGCAATTTTTTATCATTCCGATATGACACGGATATATATAATCAGAATTGTAATTTTCAGTATTTTTAATGTGGATTTTAATGATTTTTTTAAATCGTGAAGATAAATATAGTATATATCGAATAGTTTAATCTAAACAGTTTTAACTCCACATTTAGATCTGAGCGTCTTACATAAGGCAAGTTTCAAGTAACGTCTATCAAAATGAACCTCAGTTTATTATACAACGAGAATAGCAGTTGACACTATAATAATTCCGAAAAGATGTCGATATAATTACGAGATGAAAATTCTCGATATCCACATTCAATTTTGATATTCATATTGATTTGTTTCTTATAGGAATATGATCATCCTTACGTATTACTACAAAACAGCTGTAGTCAATTTACTTCATTAGTAAAGGAGACCGGTCGAGCTATGCACGATCAACTGGTTAAGATAGCGAAACAGTCTTATTGCGACAAGTATGGAGAAACATAACGAAGAGTTGAAGAAAGCTTAAGCGTTATATATCAAATTTCTCTACCAGCTAAGCTCTTTGACTTCCCGCTTTGATCTCTGTGATGTAGCTGGGGCACAAGTGGATTGTTCAGTGTTTTTGATATACATTTATAATAAAGGTAGAATTGTACGGGGAGGTTCAACAAGCAAATGTATGATTGCACGAATGCCGATGGGAATTTAGCACGAACAGTTGTGCTGCCAAATCATCGATATACCAAGGGTCGATGTCCTAAAGAGCCTTAGATTCTACGTTATTAATTAGGTCTGTATCGTTGTAGTGTTATGAAAATAGCGAGAAATGTATCTCGCATTTTTCTGCAAACACGAAAGTTTATTGCGCGCCTTTCTTTGGGATATCTCGAAGACCAAATAGTTCTGTTAAGTATTATGTACTGTGCAACGTTAAAGCGCATCTAACGTACAAGAGGAATAATATTTTTGTATCGTGTTCAACAAAGCGCCAACGCGTTGCAATGTTACTTACACTCTTGCATCGGAACTTCCGAGAGTACAACGTTGCTTGCAAAAAAACGCCAAGTATTCGAATACTTATATTTTTCTACTCTATACTTCGCGCACTTCCGGAAGCCACAGGCATCTCTGTAATAGCTCTTGTGATAAAACGAGCATACGTCGAACTAAATCGTTCCAAGCAAAAATCGCGCGACCTGAATACGATGATGTACGATGATAAAATATATTTTAAGCGCGATGTAATTTATCGCGTCGGTCGCGAAGGAAAGCTCGCTGTTGCTTTTCGAACGTTTCGGCCCTTATTATACAGCACCTTATTGTAGAATGGGTGCACACTTAGACAAGTTTTCATTGCATGTCGTATCAGTGCTACGAATAAAATAATTTGCCATTGTATAAAGCAATCAATTCGCAAAGCCGCCAAGTCTATTTCTCTTCAAGGATTAAGATTCTGACTTTGAAGACAAGAAAACACTCTTTTTATCGCAAACTTAATCAATTATATTTATCGGCACTAATTATTGATAATAATATACAATTTGATAATATAGTGATGTGGTGATAATAATTATATAAAATTATTATTCTTCAGTAATTGTAGCGATCATAATCCATATCATTATATTCGATTTTTCTTTTCTTAATGAAGGCACTAAGATTCATATGACGAACGACTTAAGTAGCTTACTTTGTACAGCGATAGATTGAACGATCAATTGAACGTACAAACAAATACTCCAAGTCTGCTCGAAAGCGACATACTTAACGAGAGACATACTTAACGACTACACTTGAAGGGTCTTTTACTTTTGAATGGCCAAAAAAATAAGCTACAATAAGGAATATTTCCTGGAAAAACTACGCAACATATCGACTTGTAACTTGGCATATTTATTATATAAGTAGAAAGTAATATTAAAAATATAATGTTTGAAATTTATATATATATATACGATCGTGTCTAAAACTTAAAATACATATTTCTTAAAATCATATTTTCAAACTCGCATGAAGTGGAATACGCATTTTAAGTTTAAAGTATGATTATAAAGTAAGTTATTCGACTTTTTCGAATAACAATTATATTTGTAATATTCCTTTCTACTTATATAAAATAAACAGAATTAGATAAGTTAGTATTTCCTTTTTTAACTAGGTTAATAAAATTATGGATTGGTATTCACAATGTAGTTAATACATTTTAAAGTTATTATAAAATTTAGTTAAGTTAAAAATTAATCACATGCAAAGAAATATATGTTTGTTTTCATAATTAACTTTTTCATAGGTTAAATTTATATGAAATAGTGAAAAAATAACTGTCTATAAAAAAATACTGACTGTTTTATGCTCAGATTTCCAAGTGAAAAAAGAATATTAGCGTTTAAAGAAATGAAAACAAATTCTGCTCTCTGCCATTATTTCTGATTTCTTTTTATTCTGCATTTTAAGAACAGCCCGTAATGATTTTAATATTGGTAAATTATTTCAACTTTTAAAGTTGAAGAAATTAATAAAGAAATTAATAAGTTAATGTGCTTTAAAATAACTAGTCTAAGTTTAAAATTGATTATTGACTTTTTAACTTAACTGTTAATTGTTTAGCTAATTGTTTCAAAAATTAGTTGTATCAAATTAGTTATATCAAAAATCTCGGACAATAAATATGCCAAGTTACAAATCGATATGTCGCGGAGTCTTTCTAGAAAAATTTCTTGAATATAACTTATTTTTTTGGACGTTCAAAGGTAAAAGACCCTTTAATTTTTGTTATATATAGACGCAAAAGAGATGGAGCTCAATATCTTTTACTGGCATTTATTGATGCAACTATTAGCACAATGAAAATATCGAAATAACCATCGAAGAAAATGTATGAATAAGCGAATAAGTATGTAATGTATATATTAAGTATTGTTAAATGGTATACGAACATATAAAAATATAATATTATTTTACATAAAAAATTAGTGCAGTGTACACTTTATATATATTTATATGTAATTAATATCTCGATTATATACTTAATAGAAAAAAAAATGGAATGCAGGACAATCGCGTACTTCTCACAGCCGACGTGATGAAAATTCTTAAATAATTAAAAACTTTTCTTCCGGAAACGAAATTCAAAGCAAAGAAGAAATTGAGAAAAATAAATAAAAAAGCCTTGTCGCAGTTATTAATGCATAATCTTCAAGTATTAACAGACAATATCAAACGTTTTGGTGACTAAGTTACCTCTCTCCATAATTTATAAGATCGAACAAGTAAGAACAAAATTTAAAGTATAAAAATGGTTTTCGGACACAACTAAACACGCGCATGTAATAATATCCTTTTGCGTAAACCTTTTGAATCGTCATTGACGGCGTTCGTATATGTTTCCCATCGCGCGCGAGTGATTTGTTCACGCAATAAAAAGTAATAATTATTTATAGATAGACGTTTCTCAATGAATATCTTAGACACTTTCCCAGTGAATGAAATATGTCCTTCGTAAATAACGATCCATGAATTTTAATGATAGTGAAGTAACATTCGTAAAGATGAATATGAACAGTATTAGTAAATAGATGTAAACTCATAAATCCGCCAAGAAACCGGTTGGAATGACTAATGTGCTGAATTCTAAAAAGTGTGAATTTTTAACATAAAACGTAACAGACATTTACACTTTATAGATTGATGGCAAAGCGGTGTGCATTCGCCTGTAATTAAAAAAATGCGAACTATTATTATAAAAATTTGAATAATGTGTCACAGTAATGGACTAATAATTAAGTCACTTTGCGTACTGATATTACTTTTTTAAGACGTTTTAGACGTGCTGAGAGACCGGCGTGATCAATAGTAATGAGTTAGTTAATAACAAACTTGATATTTCGCAGTAAAAAAAATTTTCTTTTAATTAAAAACAAAGGCATTCTCAGCTTTGTTCTATCGACTGAAGGTCGACACCGATTTCTGTTTCTGTTAGTTTACATTGATAACTTCGATATCAGCCAAAAACACGAAGCGTGAACACTTGTAAGCCGAGGGATACCGAGTCGAGCCGAAAATAACCGAATTACGTCACCAACAGCTGTATAGAGGTGTACATTAGTTCATACACAGATATCAAACAAAGAGCCGGAGGATTATGCTTTCGAGAATAGAGATAAAAAAGAGAATAAATAAACAAAACGCATTCGCGTATTGTTGCTAAAAAATGCTATTCACCAATAAATTAACATAGCTCTCTTGAAATTTCTGGCTTGTATGCTTGACGCGACAGTACATTCGGCGATTTAATTACGATTTAATTACGAAAATGGAAAGACTGGTTGGAGCCTAAATTTAGTCATGTGACTATGTAAATAAAAGAAAGTCGGTCTGAAAAAAAACGCTCGTGCGTTTTTGGCGAATTTCAAATGCAAATGTATTGTGATATGCGATATCCTCTCGTATTCTCAGTTACTCAGTTACAGATAGAGGTTATAACAGTGAAGTGACGCGTCGTGTTATCGTGACAGACTTTCTGTTTCAGTGCTCTCGGTGACAGCTTGTGGATTTTTCGCTCATACGAAAAAATACGTCGTGCGGAAGTGTATGTCGGTGATAAAACGTTATTTATTTTGCAACTGCCAGACAATTTTTTCATGGAATGAAAAATATAGTAGTCTGAGGGTGAATTGCGAGCATTTTTTCATGTTGACGTAAGTCTTGACGTCTTTTCTTAAGAACTCGCGTTCTCTCAGACACTACGTCGATAACACATCTACTTAGGATAATCTTTAGGAAAGAAATCTTAGTTACCTGCTCATTATAATGTCTTGCCAGGGTTGTGCGTCTACGCGTAACTACGATAGTTTACGTCTATGTGTAGACAAAGTAAACTATGTATAATATGTCATCTATGTAGACAATGTAGTATGAGTAATCTATTGGCTGCTGCCCACAGGACGCGGTAACGCTTGCCGCGTGACGGAAGTTCGTGTGGCAACCAATCAATATGCTGCTTTCCTTCTACGTTCTTACGAAAAAACGACATATTGATTGGCTATTGCGCAAACTTCCGCCATATAGCAAGCTATATAATTTCGTGTCCTATAGGCAGAACTACATGACTTCTGATGCAATTTATTATCTTTTATTTTAAACATTATATTTATGATTAATACACATTAACTCACATCAAGGAAGGTCTAAAACCTTGCTTTAAAAGCAAATTGACCAATCACAGTCGATTATTTCAAGAATAATTGACTGTGGTTGGTCAATTTGTTTACGGCTTACGGTTTAAAGCAAGGTTGTAAACTCTCCTTTAAATATATGTGAGTGTGATAACTGTTTTATAATTTAATTCTTTTATATTGTACTAATTAACAATAAAATTTACTAGTCTATGTAGTTTACATTGTCTACATTGTCTACATGGGAAAAAGGCCATGTAAACATTAAGTAGACTACGTGTAAACAATCCATATAGACGTAATCTTGAAATCTACGGCACAACCCTGGTTCTCGTTCACTCAGACCGGGATGATGAGCTCGTAATCTAATTTCAACGTGGCGACCATGCCTGTCGGTAAGACGCTCCTAGCAGCTCTATTCTTCTTGTCTTGTGAAATGGGAGCTAAAAAATAAGAAGAAATTATTTGATTGATATTATAATGTAATGAAAGAAAATATTTATACGTCGAAAAAGACACAGTGACGCACGTTTTAATTACATTTTACCGTAATAAAGTTTTCGAAATTTCAAAAATTATATCACGGTCAATGAACGCGTTAAGTGAGTTTAGACAACCTTTATATGTATATCTTAATAATTTTAAAAAGCATACACACAAGCATTAAGCTACTCAAAGTCTCCTCGATAGTTAAAAAAAAAAGTAAGCTGCCAAGTGTTACAGCGGAATGCGTACGTCGAAATGATATCACATGAGATATCTATAAATAATAAAGATAAATAACGTTCGTTATTTCTAGGACATAGTTTACTATCCCTAGTAGCAAAATTCATTGGCTTTACATTGGCTAAACATTGGTTATCTTGGGAATACATTGGCCAATATTTTCCAATATTCAGCCAATGTTGGACATGGAATAATTCGAAATATATTACTAATATTGTACGTTAAATATTTATATAATATTGGATTTACATTGGAAATACGTTGGCCAATATTTCCCAATATAAAATTAATATTGGTCTTAGAATAAATATTAATCTATTGCCAATATTACACATCAATAAATACGTAATATTGCATTTACATTGAAAATGCATTGATCAATACTTCCCAATGTAATATGAATATTACATATAGAATGAAAGCCAATGAACGACTAATATTATGTTTCAACAATTATACGATATTCCGTTTACATTGGAAGTACATTAGCCAATATTTCCTAATACAATATTAATATTGATCTTTGAATAAATGATAATCTATTGCCAATATTATATTTCTACATTTACACGTTGTTTTATAATCTCTTATGACTTTGTCTATTTAATAAGAGCAATAAAAATATTTTTACTATACAAATTTTAAGGCCGAAATGGAATGTGCGGTGTTTCGTAGACCTCACCTCACTAATTAAGGTTTAAATTAACAATAAAAGTACGAAAAATCTAATTTTTATTAAAATTAAATCATATTATAAAAAAAAATTATATTGCGTCAATTGCAACATATATAGACAAAATTAACATTTGGAATCAAATAATCTTAAATTTCAAGTAAAGTCAGCAAACGCTAAATAGTAAAAAATGAAACTCTTTGCGTTTATTTGAATATTCCTTGTCAATTCTATGAATATTTTGGGATATTTTTGGAATGTTAATTTTGGATTTTAGGAACATTTTATAAATTTTCCAGGAATATCTAGCGTTTACTGGGATTAGTTTCACATTAGGATCCAATTAATGTCTAACGTGAAAAAATTGAGTAAATATTATTGCTTAACATTTGCCCAATATTGTCCAATGCTATTGAACTAATATTGCTGACAAATATTGGTTAAATAAGAGGTGATATCCATTTTACAATATTGGACCAATGTTGGAAAATCAATTCATCCGCAATATTTAACATTGGATTTATATAATTTCCCAATATTGCGCCAACATTTTATGCTACTAGGGATTATTTATAGTAATTTACACTTACGCTCGTTTACGCAGCGTATCTCTTTTATCTGTAAGCAGATATGTGATTTCGACACTCATCTGGAACAAAATATGAATTGTGCTCATTATCACTCTCAAGTGCCGCCGAGTCAGCATCCGAATTATGGATTGATTAAAGTAAAGAATTTAAGTAAAGTAAATTATAATCTCTAGCGAACATATTAATCTTCTGTGTGAAGCCAATTGCCAAATTCGATCAGAACGTGGATATTACTCACTGATAAACGATTGTCAACTTTTAGTGCGCGCGTTAAAAAGATCGTCGCTAAGAGTGCCTTAAATCAACCAATACAAAAGTTAGAATCTTAAAATATTCTGACGTAAACGCGAATAGCAACGGACTATCGATTACAGCTCAACTGAAGTTCAGAAGTGTTTTTGGCACATAATAGATCGCCACTTTAAAAAAGTGAAAGCTGCATGATTATCTCATTGATGAGGTAACTTGTATCTTTTGTATTTTAATCTTTTTATTTCCCACTTGATAAAATTCGACCAAAACTGATTAATCATAATCGATTAATAATGTAATACTTTGTTATCATTTAAGTTTTGATTAATTTAATTATATCGTAATTTCGATTACGAATATTGAAATGATTCATACCTTACATCTCTTGTTTTACAATCTCTTGTCACACAATGTTTCATAATTCTACACTGCGTAATATGACTCATTTTAAATTCTCTTTTATCGATAAAGATAAAAGCCTCTCCAAATGTGACTGGAAGCTAATCAGAAGGCATACAAGCTATATTTAGAGATACTTCTACCAATAAAAGAGAGTTCAAAAGACCTGCATATTTCATATTTTCATTCAACTTTTACGTTCAAGTGCTATTCGAGCGGTTATTGTTCTTGACAGAGATGTGGTCTTAGTTTCTTAAGTTTTTCCTCTAATCAGTAGATCTCAGTTTGTATCTATGAGATAAAGTTCATCTAATCAATCGTAGAATAATATCAATAAAAATGTAATATACACGCATAAGTGATAACAGTTTCAGGGTCGATAACTTGTTCCCGATCGCAATAATGAGAGAAAGAAATATTTAATCGTGCTAGATTTACAATCGTTTTCGCCACTATCTTTTTTGTCATTCTCTACTTTCGAAACAATATTAACATATGAATATTAACAATATGAATATAAGATGATTATCACTAACGCTGTAGGAATAATCTCAGTAATAACAAAGCGATATCAATTGAAAACAACAAAGTCACATTATAAATTGAAATTAAAAAACTAACAATAAAAAATTAGCGAAGAGATTTTTTCGTGAGAAGGACGTGAAGTTGACACCAGATTGTAAGCGACGAATCCCAGACAGCACAAATGTCCAAAATCGAGTCATAAGATGTCTTTAGGATGTCTTTAAGACATCTTTAAGACAATATCTTATGAATTTGTCTTAAAGATGTCTTAAAGATGTTTTAGATGTCTTATGACCCGATTTTGGACAATGTGCTGTCTGGGATGTGTATCGATCATTGCCGCCGCAAGTTGATCGGCACTCGCACGTGATAGATTTAAAAGTGATCGATTTAATTTAAAGTTTAAGTGGCAGTTAATAGCGGTACGTCAATAACGCATAAGAAACGATGGATTCACCAAGAATGAAGTCAAGGCCGAATCCGAAGGAGAAAGCGAACATCGTGTCGGTATTGCTGTGGTGGTGAGTCGCGCGAAGTAATTTTCCACAAAATCGATTGAAGTAATTTTCCACAAAATCCCCCTGCTTTTCTATCTGCCGAACTCGGCGAGTTTGATATTTGGTAAATTTTCAAAGTCGTCCGAATGAAAGTTAAAAAATCATACTAGACTTTAAGATACTAGACAAAGATTATGTTATGTTTTATCAACCTTTAACACTCGCTTCGTGCAATATTCGTATCGTTTGTTTGCATTTAACACGGTGTGATAAATATAGATAAAATGAAACATACACTGCGGAATAATTTACACACGCTATTTGGTCCAAAATCAGTTCTTATCTTAATCTTAATTTAGTTTGTCTACAGAGATAACTTCGCACTTTTCTAGCTCAACGGAAAATGTACGATATCACAATACTAAATAATCGACACAGTCGCGTTCAATTCTTTAAAATGTCTAGCTTTCTCTGTTTCTACATTTCTTTATTATCTTATTATTTGTCAGCAAAAAAAAATTTCACACTCAAATCTAATGTTTGATTTTCACAAATCTCCGTATGTTGAATCAGGTGGGCCACCGATGTGTTTCGATTGGGCTACACGAAAGTTGCAGAATTAGAAGATTTTTATGAACTCTTGAAAGAAGATCGATCGAACATCCTCGGAGATCGTTTAGAAAAGTGAGTGTCAAAATTGCGCGGCGCACAAACAAGAAGGAAAATTATCGAAATAATAAGATTTAAATTAATTTTGCCCCCTGAATTTTCAATCTATCATGAGATTTTCCATCCGAGAGGAATGGAAAAAAGAGACATGCATTAAATTTATTATAATTATAAATTAATTTTCTCGAGTACTCTCGCTATCTTTAAGGTTCTCCATCCAAGAAGGATGCAAAATAAGTTTCCTGCGCTACTGTGTGACAAGAAAGAAAGAGAGATACATTGTATAAAATTTGTTATAATTATAGACGATGGACCATTGAGTTGGAAAACTCGAAGAAACAGAAGCGCAGACCGAACTTGCTGAGAACTATTTTGCGCACGTTCTTACTAGAGTACAGCGTACTCACTTTGCAGCACATAATCACGGAATTTTTCATAAGGTAATTCCTCCATCGGGAGAGAAATAACGAAGTTAACGAAGATAAAATTATAAGAGTGCCTTGTGAGAGATTAATTCGCGCGATTTGGATTTCGTAGATTGAGTATGCCGTTCCTGCTGGGAGGTGTCCTGCGCTACTTCAGGAATGATTCCATGGAAACATATGAAACCGCATTATGGTACGCGGCTGGCATGTGCACAGCGAGCATCTTGAATGTGATATGCTTCAATCACTTTTGTTTCGGCGCTGCACAAGTGGGCTCAAAAATTCGCATAGCCGTTTGCTCCGTTATGTATAGAAAGGTCGGTGAAGCATGTGGACGTGATGTCATGTTTTACTGCTAAATAGTCAAACATTACACGTAAAATCATGTTTGAAGCGAATGTTGTGCAATTGATGAAAATTACTTACAAGTAAATCTACCCAAAAGTTACATTCCGATTTCTTTCTAATATGGCACAAATGTAGAACGACAAAAAATAGATTAGATTATAGATTATATTTTTTCATTTTAGCCCACTTTCAGTTTCACGGGCAATTTATAGCTTTTTAATGTTCTGACTTTTAACATCAACAAGTGCAATTAAAATGTATAAGAAATAAAATTGAATACAAGATATAGGCGTTTTTGGTTTGCTGATTATGAGTATAAAGTCAAATGTGTAAAATTTTTTGTATAAATAATAAAACGTTTAAACAAAGCGCACACACACACACATGTAAAAAGTATAAAAAAATTATACAAATAATTTCTCGGTTTGACTGAGATTCGAACCATTTTTGACTAACTTAACACAAATTTGAAATATTTCGGTTGGAATCTTGGCTAAAGAAATTTAGAATGGTTCGTGTTTCAGCTATGCAAATTTTGTTAAAATTTTAATTAAAATTGCCGGATTTCAGTTTAGCCGAGATTCGAAATATTTTAAATCTGTGCTAAATTAGTCAAAAATGATTCGAATCTCGGCTAAAGAAATTTAGAATGGTTCGTGTTTCAGCTATGCAAATTTTGTTAAAATTTTAATTAAAATTGCCGGATTTCAGTTTAGCCGAGATTCGAATCATTTTTGACTAATTTAGCACAGATTTAAAATATTTCGGTTTAAATCTCGGTTAAAGAAATTTAGAATGGTTCGTGTTTCAGCTATGTCGATTTTGTTAAAATTATTTAACTATATCTTGTATTCAATTTTATTTCTTATACATTTTTGTTGTACTTGATGATAGGAGTGAGAATTAAAAACATTAAAACGCTATAAACTGCCCGTGAAACTCAAAGCGGGCCAAAATGAAAAAATATGACCTAAATATTTTTTGTACTTCTACATTTGTACCAAATTAGAAAGAAATCGGAATGTACCTTTTGGGTAGGTTTACTTGTTAGAGTCAACAATGGTGATTCTCAATTGCTCAACTCAAAACAGAAATGAACGAAATTATGATAATGCGCTTACGGAATAGATGTATCCACAATACAAAAGACTCTCTTCAATTATTGACACATTGATAATTGGATTTTCTAAGTTCCTAGCAGTTGAGTCAATATTGACGAGTTTTAACAATTAAATGACGTTTATACTACCACAATTTTATCCTCACGAGTCGCACCTTTGTATAACATCTTTGTATAGCACACTGCGTCGGCAGTGGATTGCTTAGTGAAGTTTCTTCTAATTTTAATTCTCTAGTTTTTACACACTTTTTTATATCTTTCAGGCTTTACGACTGAGAGAAACAGCGTTGGGAGAGACGACACCGGGCAAGGTGGTCAATTTGATAGCCAATGACGTGAACAGATTCACCTTTGTCTCCCTTACTACACAATATATGTGGTCAGCGCCTTTGTGCAGCTTATTTGTGGCGTATATTCTGTACTCAGAAATCGGATATTCTAGTTTGATCGGTATTGCCATCATCTTCACAGTTGCGCCGATTCAATGTGAGTTATTCGTCACAATTATTAAATATTAAGAAATTTTTTACTATTCCATCAAAAATTAGTTGTAGCGCGAAAGATTCACGTGTTTGCGCGATTTCAGCTTACACCGGCAAGCTTATGTCGAAATATCGGCTGCAGACTGCCATCAAAACTGACGAGCGAGTCCGGCTGATGGACGAGATCATCTCGGGAGTGCAGGTGATCAAGATGTACGCCTGGGAGAAGCCATTCTGCGCCTTGGTCGAGTTGGCACGCAAGCTGGAGCTGCGAGTGGTCACCAAGAGTTCATATATCCGCGGTATCTATATGACTTTCAGCCTCTTCACTACCAGGATGGCGCTATGCAGCGTACTCATCTCTATGCTCCTGTTTGGCCACAAGCTGACCGCCGACAAGGTCTTCGTTATCTCGACCTACTTCAATATCCTCTCTTTTACTATGACTAGTATGTTTGTGCGAGGTGTCGCCGAGCTGGCAGAGTGCTTGGTGGGCGTGCGAAGACTGCAGAACTTCCTCATGTACGAAGAGTACGAGAGCAGAAATGTCATCGTCTGCAAGCAGCCGTCCAGCAACTATAACGGAAAAACTCACTCCGAATCCGACAAAATTTCAGGACAAAATATATCCTATATCAATGGCGACGTGGAGAACTGCGAGATTTCGAACGGCGACGTGGAGAACTGCGAGATTTCGAACGGCGACGTGGAGAACTGCGAGATTTCGAACGACGACGTGAAATGGAATAGATCGGCTAGCATCAGGACTGATTCTAAAGATTCTATTACAAGTAAGTTTTCGAAGGGGAGATCGAGTGGAGCTGAAAAATTTAGCGATTTCACTGTTTTTCTCAAAATAAATACGCAAGCAAAATGCGTAACTAATATGATTCTTAGGCCAACTTGATCTCTTACTTTTTTTATCTAACATATTCTTATTGATATATCCTACGTATACAATGCAGAATTCGCTATTCATAGACGAACAAGTATTTTGTGTGCATAACTGGGCCGTCAAAATGACCAATGTCAACGCCAAGTGGGAGCTCGGCAACTTAGAGAACACGTTGGAAGATTTGAACCTGGAGGTGGAGAAAGGCAAACTGTACGCGGTCATTGGTATGGTGGGCAGCGGGAAAAGTTCCTTGCTGTCCGCGATTTTAGGCGAAATCAGTCTAGTAAATGGAGAGACGAGGGTTCACGGTAAACTGAGCTACGCTGGTCAAGATGCTTGGGTATTCGGCTCCACCATCAGGCAGAACATCCTCTTTGGACAGAATTACGACTGTCAGCGGTATCAAGAAGTGATCAAAGTTTGCGCTTTGTTGAAAGACTTACAACAATTTCCGCAGGGTGACCAAACCGTCGTAGGTGAACGAGGTAACATGTTGTCCGGCGGTCAGAAGGCTAGGATTAACTTGGCCAGAGCCTTGTACAGGCAGTCGGATATCTACTTGTTAGACGACCCTTTAAGCGCAGTGAGTAATTATGATATCTACCCAGCTATCGATTGTCTAAATTGATTTCGTTTGACGAGCACGTTTGTCATTTATCATTGATGAAAGTGGAAGTTTCTAGGTCGATGCACACGTGAGCAAACATCTGTTTCACGATTGTATCAAGAAATATCTGGCAGGAAAAACGACGATCTTAGCGACGCATCAGTTGCAGTACATAAAGGAAGTAGATGGTATTATATTGCTCGAACAAGGAAAGATGAAGTACTTCTCGCACTATCAAGACTTATTGGCTTATCAACCTGAATACAATGTACTCTTATCGGAGGAGGATGAGGAGGCTGATGAGTTGTCTGTGCACAAGAGAATGAGAGAACAACAGATCTTTACTTCAAGTACTAAAGTAAGTGAAGAAACGAATACATTGTTGAAATATCGATATGACGAAATTATATAAAGTGATACTTGAAAATTTAAATAGAAATTGCGTGATACACGAGGTTGTAGAGAATTTCATGTGACGTTACATGTAATTATAATTTTTATTAGAATAGATTGGATATAAGGAAATTTAATCCTTAGTGGCTTAAATGAACAACGGTATCATATGTGGTCCTACATGGGTCTTTGGAGTCCGACCTTGTTATCATATCTTTAAAGTGATTCAAAAAATCTGTAAAAATTCACGAATATACTTTCAAGTTTCTAGAACAAATACCTGTACTTCATTGTGCAAAAAACTAAAATGTAGTATATTAGTATGAACCAAGTTTAATCAGCGATTAAGTAAATGAGTGCTTTGAGTTAAAAATTCGTATTTTTTTATCAGGTATGAATAGAAGAAAACGGCTTTAGGATTTTATAGTTTAAGAACAATGCTCGCTTTTAGTATTCGTCTCGATTTTTTGTCTATGCGCTTTTATGCGAAGTTCGGACAGTCTTAAAGCCGCGAACAAGTATCACCATCGACTCGACCCATTACCGGTTCGCGATCGCTTCGTGTAGTCGCTTTGCAGTGCATGCATCTCCCGCGTTGTTTACGAACTTTTTGTTTCGTACGCGCTCGTTTGAAGCAAACCTGTATCGTTTTTTGTTATTAAATTGATTAAAAAAAAGTTAAAAAAAAAAAATCCTCGCGGTCTTAAACACCTTTCTCTCAAATACTAACTAAATAAATAATAACTAATAAAAGTAGTGTAAATAAATAATAACTAATAACTAATAAAATAATAACATTCAGATAGTAATGCAAATAGAATACTTATTATGAATATTTACACATTTTCCACTTTTCACAAATAGGACGTTGTGGCTCGAAAGACCCAACATAGGTCTTTCGAGGCCCGACAAAAATTTACCGTGATACTGCTCACAGAGGAAGTAACGATTCTAGGCGCCCTTTCGCGCACAAGTTCCTCGTATCCTTAGCATTTTTTAGAAGGAATACGAAATACCCATGTAGGGCCACTAAGGGTTAAGATTTCGTCAAATTCGTATAAACAGCTTATGTTTTTAACGTTTCTACATTGTATTATTATTTTAATAGAATAGTACTTTAGAAATCAGTAAGATAGAAGAAGGTGGGGAAAACGAAAATGTTACGAAGAAGGTGGATCTCGAAAAGACCTCACGCGGAGTGGTGAAGGGCTCTCTATTAGTCAAATACTTCCAAATTGGTGCCAACTTATACAGAGCCAGCTTCATTCTATTCATGTTCATCATCACGCAAATCGTTGTCAGTCTCAATGACTATTTTGTGCCTATTTTGTGAGTATATATATAATGATAATTAAAAATATTATTAAGTTAAGAACTGAATTTTACTAAAACTTTCTCATTATTTAAATTATTACTGATACATATTAATACCCACACAGCACAGAAGTTTCAAAAAGCTTTCAGAAAGATTTCAAGAAGATTTCAGAAAGGTTCAATGTTTCTGAAACCTTTCTGAAAGCTTTTTGAAACTTCTGTGCTATGTGGGTAGATATGTTTTATTTGATAGAACTATTTTTTCTGAGACATTTTTTAGGGAATTCTGATTAACTTTCTTTACTTCAATCGTCTCCATCGTCATTATATGATTTTCTTTTCTTTCAGGCTGAATGCCGAAGAAAAGCGGCGCTATCTAGCCAATCTTGAGAGTTCCAATCGAACGACCGTCTCCGCGAATGCGACGAGTCTCGATACGGACATATGGCCAATGACCACGTACATCTACATCTACACGGGCATCGTGTTGAGTATTTTCATCGTAGCCATCATCAGATCATGGTTCTTATATAACACGTGCACAATGTGCAATCAGCGTCTACACAATCTAATGTTCAACGCGCTAATCCGTACAGGAATGCGTTTTTTCGATACTAACTCAAGCGGCAGGATCCTCAATAGATTCTCCAAGGACATGGGCGCGATCGACGAGTTATTGCCAAAAGGAATTTTAGACTCATACCAATCGAACATGCTAATGATCGGCGCAGTGACAGTAACCTGCATAGTCAATCCATTCTTCATCATACCTATCTTGGTGATCTCCATAACATTCTACTTGTTAAGGAAGAAATATCTCAATATTAGTAAGGATATCAAGCGTTTGGAAGGAATGAGTACGTCTGGCTTCTCTCATATAGCATTTATCGAGAATTTTTACTGCAATTTTTATAATTACTATTATTTTTATTAACGTAATTATTTATTTGCGATTCATTCGCTTGTATCAATTACGCGATTGCACAAGAATGTTTTTTTCATTTTGTTGAATTTGTCGTGTTTTTCTTCTCTTATATCAGCGACATTAAGTTCGATCAACTCTTTGACTTGCAATTCCTTCTTTACTCTAGCAATTTTTTTGTACTCTAGCAATTTTTCTTCACATCTATGTTTTTTCAAGTGAAAATCGCGATAATGTTTAGCTCTCTAATTTTCTAAATGCACTATGTTTTTGCTATTTATTTAGCCATTATATTTTTCTTTGTGTTTCAGCACGCTCGCCGGTATTTACTCGCATGAGTACCACATTAAACGGCTTATTCACTATCAGAGCGTACTGCAACCAGTCAATACTTACGAAAGAATTCGACAGGTTACAGGATCTACACACGTCCTGCATGTACACGTACGACGTGACGACCACGATTTTTTCATTTTATCTGGACATATTTTGCGTCATTTTAATCACCATAGTCACTTTCACCTTTTTACTAACGAACAACTGTAAGAATCGATTCTCCTTGTCGAGTATCCTCTGTGAATCTTGTTTGTTATTTTTTAACTTCACTTAAAAATTATTGTGTCTTTCAGCATTTACCGGCGGGGAAGTGGGGTTGGGAATCACGCAAATCTTAGCGATAAGCGGCTCCATGCAGTACGTGATGCGGCAAAACGCTGACATGACAAACCAGATAATGGCGCTGGAACGTATAATCGACTACATTCAGCTGCCACCGGAGTCGAATTTCAGGGACAGAGGAGTATTCCTTCAGAAAAAGAAGAGCAACAAGTGGGACATGGAGTTACCGGCCAACGCTCCCAAGAACTGGCCCTCGAAGGGCAGCATCGAGTTCAAGAACGTCTACATGCGCTACGCGGACGAGACCCCGCCTGTTCTCAAAGAACTGGACATTGTAATTCTTGCGGGGGAAAAGGTATGTAAATTTTAAGTAAGAATTCTATGTAGCAATGATTCATCTGAGAATCCTGCGAGAAAGAAGCGAGTGCAGATAGAAAGCGAGAAGAATCCATTTCGAGAAGAATAAATTGATTTCCTGCATTTTGAAATATTCGGAAGTTCTTCCTTTCGGCTATCGTCTGCGGCAAAATTCTGCGAATTTTGTAGAGAACAAGTATAGGAAAGAAGAGGCAGAAATCGGTGTAGTTTCGATAATGTTTCAATCGTTTGTTGGTTCCTTAAAAATTCTCTGTCCCGCTCTTCCCGATTACGACTGTTCTCTAGAGAAGATAACGATTACAAAAGAGTGGAAAGTGATCAAGATACTTCAAGGATAATTTTTTAACAGATCGGTATCGTGGGAAGAACAGGCGCGGGAAAATCGTCGCTGATATCGGCGCTGTTCCGATTAGCAAAAGTGGAGGGTGTTATCGAGATCGACGGTGTGAACACGGACTCAATAGCCTTGGAGGACTTGCGATGCAAGATATCTATCATCCCTCAGGATCCAGTTCTGTTCTCGGGTACTCTGAGAAGTAATCTGGATCCTTTCGACGAATTTTCAGATAAAGAATTGTGGGATGTGCTCGAAGAGGTTTGTCGATAAATAATTTTTGGCTCGATAATGACGATAATAATTACAATGCGTTGAGGATTTTAAGATCAGATTGAAAATCATAAAATTCTCGTCTTAAATATTTAAAGTTCTGAAGTTCTAAGTTTACACTAAGGTCTAAACATCTTAAGGCTTGGAATTAAAATGATATTTAGGTTGAGTTGAAAGACGCGATCGTCAATGTTGGAAACGGATTGGAGAGTCGCGTGTTCGAGCGAGGCAGCAACTACAGCGTCGGACAAAGGCAGTTGGTCTGCTTGGCGAGAGCTATCCTAAGGAACAATCGTATACTGATGTTAGATGAAGCGACTGCCAACGTAGATCCACATACGGACGCGTTGATTCAGTGCACTATCAGGAAAAGATTCGCAACCTGCACGATGCTCATAGTGGCGCATCGACTAAACACTATCATGGACAGCGACAAGGTCTTGGTGATGGATAAGGGTTATGTAGCTGTAAGTATAACTTTCTTTGACACCGCAAGGATTTTCGAGAGAGAGAAATTTGGAACTTTATTAAAGTTAAATGACTTAACGAACATAACTCGCGTTTCGATGGTGACTGATTGCATTATGAAATTATAGCTTTATTATTTTTTTCGCAGGAATACGACCATCCTCACGTATTATTGCAAAACAATCATGGTAAATTTACCTCACTGGTAAGGGAGACCAATACATACGATCAGTTGGTGAAGGTGGCGAAGCAGTCTTATATTGAAAAGTATGGCAAAACGGAATGAAATGGAACGAACAGGTGGATTTAGATACCAAATTTTTAGCAACTAAATCTTTCGAAATTCTATTTTTCGCTCTTTTAAAATTTATCGGGTACACAGATATGTATATCAGAGTATGAAAAAATATCCAATATTTAAGAAAGAATAAAGTGCAGTTGTAAATATAAGCTGACAGGTAGCTTAAGCTTATAGATAGCTTTAAGCTATAAGCTTTGTAGATTTGACAATCCAGACTGATTTCTCGCGGGTCGAGGTACATTAAAATCTAAGATCAAATGGCAGTTAGATGATATATCGTGTGATTATCTTTGTCACTATTCAAGATCTGAAAATCAGATCTTCAAAAGACATGCTGGACGTACAAAGAATTATATTTTTGCATTGTTGTATAACAATCGTCATTGTGACCCTGTTTCCGATCTCGATGGAGCGTATACAACTCTTGATGAATCATTATCTTCGAGTACTTACATTTCTACTATAAACTTTATTATTTTTTTTTATACCATATACTTCGCTTAAACCTTCAAATATCGCGAGCTAACACGTCCACTGAGATTACAACTAACGTACGAACGAATAAAATACTCAGACACAACTTACTTCAAGTCATTTACTTAATAAGGTAATATTCAATTTTTGTCACTACACATAGTAGGAATAATTTTGTAAACGACCTCTATACGCATGCAGCCATCTGCGTTACCACGATATTATCAATACGAAAATTGAAAGTTGATGTTAATTAACTATTGAGAAATATAAGAAATATAGAGAGTAATATAATATTTACATAACAATATTTACATAATATATTTACGTAATGTATGATAAACATTACTATTAAGAACAATATTACTATTAAGAACAATATAAAGTATTTTTACGAATACTTTTGCCGAATATTCGATAAGACTACATTTTAGTACCGTTCGACGCTTTATCTACCTCTGGCGTTCAAAAATGTTTGCATTTTTTTACGCTTGGCTATCTTTATACTTAATATGCGAACAACGTTACTGTGTAGTGAGAAGCGCGAAATGTTAAATCTCATAAGTGTACAAGCCCACAATAAAAAATATGGAATGTACAATGAAGCATTGTAAATAAAATTAATTAATAGAAAGTGACTGCGACTTGTTTGTTGTGCTTCTCTGTTCCCTGAGGACACTTGCAAACAGGACATTTGCGAAAGAGTAACAAAACGTGCATCATACGTGCACTTGTGTGTCCAAGGTTAAGAATAGTCATCGTCGACGTTCGCTATGCATCGACACTATCAGTGATGCTCGGAAGCGATATGAAAAGCAGCGACTAGGTGCTTGTGACTTCAGTGAGGTGTTGACTTTCGAAAGAGTGAATCGAAAAGGGAAGGATACGAAGAAGGGAATAAAAAATAAGGATGCCAGTCTATTCTAATCTCTACCTGACAGTCTGAAGCGTTATTGTTTTTTAAAATTTTTTGGGCACTGTGAGACCAGAAAAGTGTTATAATGGATAACGATTCGAATAACATGAGGCGGAATCCCAAGGAAACTGCGAATGTCTTCAGTCAGATCTTTTTCTGGTTCGTTTCTTGTATAATTTATCTTTCTTTTTTTTTCGGAAGAAAGTGGAAAAGAGATTTTTTGATTCAACATGAGGAAAAAAATGAAAACGTTTTCTCTTTCTAAAAAAAATAATTTGTTTCCCTCGAAAAAACAGGAAGAAAGATTTGTATTCCGTAGAAGAAAAATCTTGTTTCTTCCAGATCTGTGTTTCGAGTTAAAGCAAAATGCAAAATTTGTTTAGAAAAAAGATGTTTTGAATTAAAGCAAAATTTCTTTGGAAAAGAAGAAATTTTGCATTTTTCTTCTACGGAATACAAATCTCGTTTCTTCAAGAAATAATCACTCGCGGAAGAATTCTCACTTGTAACTGTTACTTATTTCATTTTATACGTACATCTCTCATGTTTAATTGTTAATTCTGTATAGCTTACAAAATTGGTGAAAAATTTCTCGAAATGAACTAAGAAACTTTTGAGGAAATCTACGCGTAACTCACGTTTTGTTTAGTCACGTCCTTATCTTTTTTTCTTTGCATATGAATTATCGGTTAACCTCCGAACGTTATTAATGTTTTATGCTTCACGAATTACTCATATTTTAGATAGGTATGATGTATTATACATGTTACGTTAAACTATAATACGTCAGAGGAAGCGTACCATATTTTTGCGTTTTTAAACACCTCGAAGTTGACAAATCCGCGATTACACATAAAAAAATATATATTACATTCAAGTAGATATTACTTATTTTAAATGTTTCATAGGTTTATACATCTTTAAACCTATCATAAGCTCATAATAAGTATCAAATTTGTTTAAAATACATTCTAAATCCTAATAAGTTTATTATTTCAATCAAGAATATTAAATTAAAACAAAAATTCGGTTTTCTTAGTTATATAGAGTTGAACTCAAATATATATCAGAAATATTATTAAGAAAATATACATAGATATATTTTGATATTTTGATATTTTCAAGAAAATATTTTTTAATGAAGATAACTATTACTTAACTAGTAAACTACATGAAGATAACTATTACTTAACTAGTAAACTACATGAAGATAACTATTACTTAACTAGTAAACTACAAAGTCACTTTTTTTAGTAGCAGAATAAGATTTTTCTTTGTATAGTATCGTTACTAATAGTAGTATCGTTGATAATAAAGTCACTGTTATACCAAGAGTGTTGGTAATAACGTCGTTAAGATAAATTTTTAGTGTAAAATACGCGTACAATGTGTCCGCGAAAAATATGCCTGAACACTTCAATGTTGTGAATTCCCAGCAATAATGTAATAGTTACATCGTCATAATATAACGAAATATAACGTGCAACATAATATGTTTGTTACATGTAATATATACATTAGTTGTAATTTCCCACTCAAACGATATTGCAGCTATGTAACAGAAATATAACGTGTTACTAAAATGTTATATAGCTGTTATATATATTGCTAAAATGTTATATAGCTGGAATATAAATTATTATTTCCCAGTAATTATAGGTATTTAATTGTACGCAGAGATTACAAGCTATCACTCAAATATCAATTAATTTGTAAAAGTATGTTCCTTAAAATATTATAATTATATATTTCGTATAAAACATATTTTTAGTAAAAATAATAACATTAAAATATCTTGTCATTCTAAATTAATTAGCTCTCAAATAACACAAGATATTCCAGAATCATCCTAGAGCTATTTCAGACGTCTAGTATCCCAGCATGTCCTCAGACATTTTAGGCTATTGGAGCTATTTTCATTTATTCATTTCCATCTTTCTGTATGTATTCAAATGGAAGGGATTACTATGGTAACACTAATTTTCATTAATCAAAAAATGAATAAACCACTTCACTTTACTATAAAAGGACTCCATAATACAAGTTGTGCCATCTTGTGATCATCGTTCTTATATATATTAATGCATCATATTTTACATACGAGAAAGACACGAGAAAATGGAAACCATCTAGTGACCGACCCGATCCTTAAATATAAGAATGCTATATAACATAGATGTAATGCAAATAAACGCTTGTTATATAACCTGTTATATTTTAGTCATGTTGGTGTTATACAATTATAACCTGTAAATAGCAGAGAATTATAACTGTTCTAAAACACAGTGATTGCAGTTATAAAAGAAAATTATGTAACTTTAACATTAATAACGTATAATATCCGTTATATTATGTGTTACTTCTATGTTAATAATATAATAGTTATATTTTGTTATATTATAGTTATATTTTATGTTAATAATATAATATAATAGTTATATTTTCTGTTTGTGTTTACGCAGCTTCGTCATGATCCATAAAAAAAATATAGTCTTTTCGCGAAGCCGTGTAAAATGTAACAACAAATTTAACGCAATATTCAATAGATGCAAATTATGAATACTAATCCATTTTTTATTTATAATTCTCTGAGAAATTATCGTGAGGCTTCACAAATTTGATCTCAGAGTGAGAATTGTAGAATTTATTGCTTTTGTTATATTTTTGCAGGTGGACATCGGAATTATTCATGAAAAAAGATCTGGAAGAATCGGATATTTATCGGCCTCTAAAGGCAGATCACTCTGAAAAAGTGACAGACCATCTGGAAAAGTAAGTACTCTGTTTTCAGAAGAAACAGATGTATGAATAATAATTAGTGGTTTGAAAGATACCATTATGCAAGTATAAAAAGTTAAATAACTAGAACATTTACGTGTAACACCTGGCATGAACAGTCGCATATGTGTGATAATTCTAATAATCTGCTCACTATATGTAGCAATAAATATCGTAGTAATAAAAATTATATCGTAGTAATAATAATTTTTTTTCAATGATAATGTTGTGTATAATATAATATATATTATATTAATATTACATAACAATAGTAATATCATATAATAATGTAACAATAATAGGATGATTTAAAGAATGGATAATATGATTTTGTGTGTTACGTATTCTTAATGTGTCGTGATGAATAATTACACGATGAATATAAAGATAAACGCAATGAAGAATAGACAGGTATATTATTCGACAGTCGTTGATATAATAAAGAATAAGCTGATATAAACCGTATACCACGTAATACGCGAAAGTTTATTATAATTCCGTAATGATACAGTTGTTGATACAATAAAGAATACGCTATTATAAACCCTGTACCACGTAATACGCGAAATGTATCATAATTCCGTGATAATACACGTTTGTTGAGAGTATACCATAAGAATATCCTACATATTTGCACATTTGTATTATTTAATCATAAACATGAAGTATCAGTAAAAAAAAAAAAAAAAAAAACGAAATATCAGTACTTGTGTGACTGAAAAGTACACTTGACGACAACGAAAAACATAATCTTATTACTGCTGCCCAAAACATTTTTCTCAAGATTTAGCTGGATTAAAATTCAGTTAAGATAGCGGAAAACAATTGCGTGAAGCTTACAGTAATTTTTCTGTTCCTATAATCGTGTTTCGTCTAATTCACAGATGACAAAAAATTTAATTACACGAATTGAGTTTTTCATTCCGCGTAAAATAATAAATGTCGACATTTTTAACGACAACTTTTGATTTCCTAATGTCAGATACTGGAATTACGAGCTGGAGAAGCTGAAGAAGCTGGAATACACAGTGCGTAAAGATGGACAGAAAGTGCCATTGAAGAAAAACGATCGACCGAGATTGTATAAGGCAATTTTGCGCGCTTTTTGGTTGCCGTATTTTATCATTGGACTCTTCCAGCTTGTCCAGGTATTTTAAATACAAAATATCGTGATATCTTCGTGGATAATGTCGAATACACGAAATAATAATAAAGCGAAAGAACACTGAGAGAAGCGACGGAAAACTCCTAGGGAAATTACACTAGACGATCATAGAGTTATTATGAACGGAAAAATAAGAGAAAATTTATAAATCCTGACGAAAATTCTGTTAAGGAAAAAAGTGTTTAATTACATTTGTGACTTAACCACTTTTTTTCTTGATACGGCAGAATTGTCGATCTAAATAACGTTCATGTGTTTCTAGTGCGTCGTGCTGCGCGTGATACAGCCGATTCTGCAGAGTTGGATAATCAAATACTTCAATGGCAAACCAAACGCGCCGGACGTTGTCAACAGGGACGACGTGCTGATTTATACCTCCTGCCTAATTTTATCTTTGATCATGACTGTCATAATGTTACATCATTCAAACTTAGCCACGCAGCAGATAGGGATGAGAGTACGCGTCGCCTGTAGCTCGTTAATCTACAGGAAGGTAGTATAACGAATAATTCGTACTTCTCAGTCAATCAGGCAACTTCTATTGCCTCGAACGTTTCACAAAACATGCTCGGAACGCATTGAAATAAATGAGGTTAAATAAATAACAGATAACACGTTATCACACAAATATGCTTATTTGCGGAAGTGCGATTCCATATCGCCACGTCGAATCTATGCTAGTTAATAAATAAAAAAACATGAAAAAGAAATGAGATAATAGTCAAGACGGGATGCGCGACCGAGTAACTCCGATGAATTTCATTATTAATCAATTAATTAACATGCAAATAAATGCATTTAAATAAATAAATGCAATTAATATTAATTTATTTAATAACATGCAATTAAATAAATAAATATAACTAACAAAATAATTATAATGCAATATTTTTCGTCATATTAAGTAATCATGAAATAAGGGATCTTGTCGACTGCTCACCGGTGAGATTTTTCGCATTTTGAGTCGGTTCTCGCTCATTGTGTTGCTTCTATAATTTGTCGCAATATACAAATATAACAAAAAGCAAGGTCACTTAAAAGCCGCGGCTACAAGTTATCGTTCATAAAAATAATGAACAATTTATCGAGCCCGATATTGTTTTAATTACGTGTGTCCTTAGACTTTAAACGACGACGTGTGTGAAGAATAAGTTGAGACCCACAGAAACATGTAGCGAACTATCGTGAATATGTTAATTGAGTGATACATCTACTTCAAATGCAACTCGCACTTACGACTATACTGTACGAAAAAAGAAAATATACTTTCCTAGTATATTTTCAGCAAACATTTCTCATGCTCACATAGCTTTAACTTGTATTTTAAAAATCGTATTTTAAATAACATGTAATTGAAATGACTCGGAAATCTGCATTTTAAATTTAAAACTTTTACGCGATCCGTTAACATATTGTTATTACAAAAAAATATCTAGAAAAAGAAATAAACGGAGCGAAAAAAGAACACTGTGCAATGCTATATTACCACGCTATTTAATAATAACGTAATAATAATACTATAATTTTTACGGCAAATTATCGTAGGTACTACGGTTGAGTAGAACGTCCCTAAGTCAAACCGGCACCGGACAGGTCGTGAATCTCCTCAGCAATGACATGCTTCGCTTCGATCAATTGTCAATATTCCTGAACTTCATATGGATCATGCCCATTCAGGTAATTTCTCGTATTATTTACGAAAAAACGTAATATCATCTATCAAATTCGTTCACGTTTTCGTTCGCAGGTCATAACTGTGACGTGCATAATGTGGCAGCAGATCGGCATCTCGATCTTCGTCGGCGTCGGGACGCTGTTGTTCATGTCTATACCGATTCAGGGAACTTTCAGTCTCTTAAGTCGCCGTATCAGAGCCATGATCGCACCGCTCACTGATCGTAGGGTGCAGCTGATGAGCGAGCTTATAGCCGGGATACAGGTACTATTTCTTATTCGTTATCTTAATTGTTACATTCAATGTCTGATTGTTATTTTTATATTGACTAGATGACTAGAGATATCGTATTCATAGTAACCTATTACTTTATTAATGATAACTAGATGAAGATGATAACTAATATGTGTCGACTAAAGTTTCATAAAGGAGTGATTTGGCGAAATTGATCCATAATCTCCCGTTCCTTTTAACAGGTAGTGAAGATGTATGCCTGGGAGAAGCCGTTCAGCAAGATCGTCTCGATCACGAGAACATTGGAGATCAACAAGATCAAGTTTTCATCGTACGTGCGCGCCGCATATTTGGCTATCATAGTGTTCACCGAGAGACTTATTCTTTACTTCACCTTGATAACGTACGTTTTTATGGGGAACAATCTGTCCGCCGACGTGACTTACATTTTGGCGAGTTACTACAATATGCTTCAGCTCATTGCCGCGATGTTCTTTCCGCAAGCGTTGATACAGATAGGAGAAACGATGGTGTCCATAAGTCGGTTGGAAGTGAGTTATAAATTGACTTATTGTTAAACTTAAAATTATGGGGAATCGTCCGAGAAATATCTGTAACTTACTGAGATCGTATTTGTGAGTCTTTATTAACATTTAAATCTTTGAGAGCTTTTGACGTCTCTCTCTTTGCGGTCCTCAATCTTTCCAGCACGTTTCTCACAAGCTCTCATTCAACTGTTAACAAACTCACTCTTCAGGAATTCCTCCTATTAGAAGAAGTGAACATGGAACGACAGGAAACTAAGTTGAAACCAGAATCTGCATTTAACAAATCAAACAAAACGACCACTACGGAGAATCAAAGACACGACGTCATCAACAATGGGATTTTTTATCCTGCTTCTCAAGTATCATCCGAGAATCCAGTTCGCATAGAACTTCAGCGTGTTTCCGCCAATTGGGTCAACGGCCAATTGCCGCCAACGTTGTGCAACATCTCCATGACGATCAAGCCAGGCGAATTGTGCGCTCTTGTGGGCGCCGTGGGCTCCGGCAAGTCGTCCGTGCTCCATTTGCTTCTAAAGGAATTGAATCCTGGCGCCGGTAACGTGATTTTCACTCAGGGCTTGCCGCAAAAGATTGACAAGAGCAACTTGACCAACTTTTACATAACAGACAACCCGAATTTACATATTTCCTACGCCAGTCAGGAAGCCTGGCTCTTCAGCGGCACCGTGAGGGACAACATCCTGTTTGGCCAGCTTTATGATAGAACGAGATATATTCAGGTTCCTGTCAAAGCATAGTGGCTGTATGATACCTCGATTTTTCAATATTTTCTGACGATTAATTGGCGATTTCAGGTGACGAGTGTGTGTGCCTTGACGAAGGATTTTCGACAATTGCCACAGGGCGACATGACGATAGTTGGAGACAGAGGTGTATCTTTGTCCGGAGGTCAGAGAGCGCGAGTCAATCTCGCGAGGGCGGTTTATAGACAAGCGGATATCTATTTGCTAGATGATCCTTTGAGCGCGGTAGACACTCACGTCGCCAAACATCTCTACAGGAAGTGTGTTACCGAGTATTTAGCTGGGAAAACGAGAATCCTCGTTACCCATCAACTACAGTTCCTCAAACGAGCGGATCATATCGTTGTGTTAGATCGAGTGAGTATTGTATCGAGTGCTTTCTTATTAAATAATACCTCAACTCTATCAAGTTATTTTACATTTGTTCTCAAGGGTTTCGTGAAGATGCAAGGGAGATATAACGATCTGGTGGAGTCAAACAAGGATTTCATCAAGATGATGGACAACTTGAGTCACGAGGCGCAAAAAAAGGAAGAAGAAAACGCGAGAAGAATCTCGGAGATATCTACCAGAAAAATTTCGTTAATGAGGCGCCCCTCAGAGCTTTCAACCATAAGTTCCATCGCGGTAAGACAACGATTATCTAAGTTCGTAATTTTTTCCCCATTAAAATTCTCTCAACCCGTCCTCGTTAATTTCGTCAATTCGTTGATACGTTATTTATTATACGTTCACTCGTATCAAAGATATTTTCTTTAAGAAAAAAATTCTCCAAACTGCAAAAATGAGTCTAACGATCCATTACTTTACAGCACTCTGATATCGACGATATGAATTACGAGAAGAACAACTTGGATGGCGAAACGATGATGCATGGTTACATGTCCAGCAAAGTGTACAGGAAGTACCTGCATTACGGTGGCAACTACTTCGTCTTATTTATGCTGCTTATATGCTTCATAATTAGTCAAATCGCCACCAACGGCAATGACTATTGGGTCTCATACTGGACCAATCTGGAGGAGGAGCGGCACAGCGAGGGCACTGCCGACTACGTTACTGTAAGCCATAAGTACAGAAATATGTACAATAACAGCTTCCTGGAGTTGATTTTCAACCTAGACTCGGACGGCTTGCTCGGCACCAAGTCAGCCATCTACGTCTATACGTTCACTATCATCGCCTGCACCATCACTACATTATTGCGCAGCTTCCTCTTCATGAAGATTTGCATGAACTCCAGCATCAACCTCCACAATACCATGTTCACTAATCTGGTACAGGCCCGCATGTCTTTCTTCAACGCCAATCCTGCCGGTGAGTCAAAGAGTATGACGCTGTCGATACGCTAGAAACTGCATACTTTTTTACTTGTCTACCAGTTTTTCTTTGTGTTTTTTTCTTAATTTTAAGAATGATTTGTAAGGAAATAGAACGCAATCGTTAACGTAGAATGTGTGTATATGTTTGTTTGGTATTTACAATATCATTTAAACTGCATCGGTTTCAATGTTTGTTGCACGCATTATACTCCCTGTTATTTCTCAACTTCTGTCTTATTCCAGGGAGGATCTTGAACAGATTCTCGAAAGACATCGGCACAATGGACGAGTTGCTCCCCAGAATAATGTTGGAAGCAATTCAGATAACCTTCGTGATGGGCGGTATACTTATTATGGAGGCAATAATCAATTATTGGATGCTGATACCGATCGCAATACTTAGCATCATGTTTGTACTAATAATAAAAGTATATATCCGCAGCTCTCAGAATGTTAAACGTCTCGAAGGCGTAAGTAAGTATAGAGAAGAGCAATTTTTTATTAAAAATAAAAGTAAAAAGACTAATGCTTCTTAGTCGTTTCTTCCATTCCTTTGATGGTATCTGGCTGTCAATATCGCGTGCGCATTCGTTTCATTTAATCCGAAGAACTTTAATTTTCCAAATTCTTACTTGCTTTTGCTTCTATTCCATTTTCTTTTTCTATTTAGTACATGATCTTCTCAAGATATTAAATCTTGAAATTAGATCCTAGGATTCCGAAATCAGGAATCTGCAAATATTCGTGCGACCATGTTCGATATTTCTTCGTTTTCAGCCAAGAGCCCGGTGTTCTCCCACGTGAATTCCACACTGAACGGACTAGCGACGATCAGGAGCAGCGGCACCGGTACAGAGCTGATGATGCAGAAGCAGTTCGACTCGTTACAAGATTACCACAGCGGCGCGTGGTATCTGGTCCTGGCCATCGCGGCAGTTTTCGGACTCTTGTTAGATTTGATCACGTGCGCGTTCATTGCCTGCGTCTGTTTCTCTTTCATAATGGTAAATGGTCAAGGTGCGTAGATCATCTTCAATTTCTCAAGTGTAAAGTGCTATTAGTCATTTATTACATAAAGTAACAATAATATTTGAGTTGAATGGGATATCATAACATTGATGTAACGATACTGTTGGTGTTTACTGAAGATTACTCTTGTGTCTTTTACTAATCTCTGATAATTTCTCACAATAATGTTGATTTCCATGTGCAGGTGGCATACTCAGTGGCGACGTAGGTCTGGCGATCTCGCAGTCGTTAATCTTGTCTGGTAGTCTGCAATATGGCGTGAAACAATCCGCCGAGATGATCTCGCTGATGACATCTGTGGAGAGGATTCTCCAGTACACGAATCTGCCTACGGAGAAATCGATCGTCCCGAAGGATCCTCCACCGCCCACGTGGCCGACCAACGGCAGACTCACCTTCAAGAACGTCAATATGAAATACGACAAGAATGATGCACCTGTCTTAAAAGTGAGTGAATCGATCCGATCCTTGATAATTGAAATCTTCGACTAACAGATTCGAGGCAATCACTTGCCTGTCGATTGCACCGTGATTTATTTTGCAATTTCATTGTGATTATTTCATTTTTAATTCGTCTCGCAGAATCTGAATGTGTCCATCGAACCCGGTTGGAAGGTCGGCGTAGTAGGACGAACCGGTGCCGGCAAATCGTCCTTGATATCCGCGCTGTTCCGTTTGTTCGATGAGGGTTTGGAGGGCGAGATCAAAATCGACGACAGGGACACAAGCACGGTGGGTTTGACAGAGTTGCGTTCCAAAATCTCCATCATACCGCAAGAGCCGGTGCTCTTCTCCGAGAGTTTGCGCTACAATCTGGATCCCTTCAATCAATACGAAGACATGATACTCTGGGAAGTGCTTCGACAAGTCGAATTGAACAATGTCGGCTTAGACCAGGAAGTCTTTTACGGCGGCCACAACTTCAGTGTGGGCCAAAGGCAACTCATATGTTTGGCTAGAGCCATCCTGAGAAATAATCGCTTGCTCGTCCTCGACGAGGCGACTGCCAACATCGATACGCAGTGAGTTTTTGATGATTTACGACAATTGTCAGTAAGAGGTTGCGTTCTTAAACGTCAATAAAAAAATCAGCTTACACTGAATCATTTTCGCGAGAAATTCAACAACGATCGAGAATGATCAAATCTTTAATCTGAAGAGAAGCGAATTGCTGAATTTTAAAATTGTGGATCAATACGCACTTTATAAATTTATAAAGTGCGTATTGAATAATCTACGTTTGCAATTGCGCTAAATTATCTTCCATTTTAGTACTGATTCCTTGATCCAGGACACGATAAGAAGCAGCTTTAAAGAGTGTACCGTCTTGACGATAGCACATCGTTTGAACACTATTATAGATAGTGATCGAATTATTGTAATGGAAAATGGTTACATAGTGGTATGTTTCTGTTTTAAACAAGACTATTACTTAAACAGTAATTATAATTGGTAATTGAATGTAAGAATTATCGGAAATATTTAAAACGACTAAAAAGTTTCTCACAATATTTCTTTCGATTTTTGTGACTTTTTAAAAAAATCTTTGTTAACAATATCAATTGCGTCATGATATTCACTATCTGGAAGAAGACTTTCGCTTTGAACTTAGAAAATACAGGGAAAAGAATTTATATGAAGAACGTTTGCGATATTAAATATTTTTCATCCTAGCTAGCAAATAGTCAGAGATATAACGTGTTTAATGATTACTAACAATTATGCACGCCAACAGGAATTCGGTTGTCCCTACGAATTGTTACATGACAAACCAAACGGCTACTTCTCGAAAATGGTGAAGCAGACGGGCAGTGAAATGACCCAGAAACTTCTCGAGCAAGCCGAAAAGGCCTGTCAGAAAAATGACAATCATCGGAATTTAGATCTATCCAGACGAAATTCTAATGAGAACGACGTCGTGGTCAACGAGATGATAGAACAATCCGCCTTGTAGATTCATCCCTGTGAACGATATACGTAGAAACGCAATGTTGAAACGTTTCCCATGAAAAAGATACGTTTGCACGAAAGTGTATACAAATACACAGCAAAACATCGCGAAGAGCAATGAAACGTTCGAAATTATTCAGACTATCGTGTTAGGCCAATGCCGGCGACGACAAAGGAAAAATGACAAATTGTAAAAATATAGTACCATATGTGTGCGTGTTAATCTCTCTAAAATATGTTTTGTCTCTTTCTAAATTTTATTTATTACCTTATACGTAAATTTAATGTTTACGTAGACATAGACGTTAATAGCAACACGTCGAGTTAATTGAAAGTGATTTTATTAGTGTATGAATTTCAGTAACCGTATTTAAATAAAATCTCACTATCAAAGATTGTCAAACTGTCTTTTTGTCTATGTCTATGAGAACCTGGCGAACATGATAACATTAAATGACGTATTAATAACGTATTATTAGTATAGACATCACTAATACGTCATTTGACGTTATCTTGCTACTTGGGAAATAGATGTGTAGAAAGTATCGCTCCTTTTTCATTTGTCCTAGTAGCACAGTTTAGCAGCCCAATATTGGTTACATTGGCATACATTTGGCTAATATAGTCCATATATAGCCAATATTGGTCACAAGTAAAATGTGAATAAATTGCCAATATTGCACAACATGATTGAATATTGGTACATATTGGGGATACATTAGGCCAATATAACTCAATATACAGTTAATATTAGTAACAAATGAATTGTTAATATTCAGAATTTTATATTAGCTATGAAATGCAAAGTGTTTACAATTTTGAAATATTAGGTATATTTGTAACCAATATTGCTCCAATAAACTGTTTTACTAAGGTGCATTACTACATATTTCTATATTATCTTCCCATACAGCACAAATGTTCAATAGATATCCTAAGAACGTTCTAAGAACGAATATTCTTAGAACCTTCTTAGGATATCTAGTAAATATTTGTGTTATATGGACTTATTATATAATTTCTAATTCAATTGACAAAAGATATATAAGTTTTTATACATATATCAATTAATTAAAATAAGCTACATGTTTTATTTTAATGAATTGTGGAAATGCCGGAGCTAGCGACGAACTTGACAAGCGTCGATAACGTAGAGCGATCATCAAAAAGTAGAAAACGTTATCATCATTTATTGGTGATATCGAATTTATGTACACATAGATACTTATGGAATAAAGATATTTATGGAATAAAGATGATCGTCAAATAGCCGCTATCATTTTTTCACAGATGTTATGCAAATATGTGCTACGTTTTCATTTCAATTTTCTTACATATAGACATTACTCAGTAAGCAAATTGAGCGCAGATTGGCAGCAAATTTGATCAAAAACCCAGAGCAAAACTATAGCTATTTGTGTCTACATTAGGCTACGGTTTTGGCAATAAATGCTAGCGGCATGTTTAAGAGACTGAGCGCGATGTATGTCTCGACGTCGCGATCCAGTGTTTATGTTTAGTATTTTTTGCTTTCTTTCGGCAACTACAAAAGATATCAATTTCGTTCAAAAAGCACTGACTTCTCCTCATTTTAATGTATTGGGATTAGTTTTTTATAATATTACGAATAATACCATTGCTTTAGATGGAAAGCGTGGGAACGCGCGTACGTCTCGATGTACGTCGCGGTCATCCTCTTACATACGCTAGCATTTATTGCTTAATTTCGGCAACTACAAAAAATATAGATTTCGTTCACAAAGCATTAACTTTTTCAGTTTATTCTACTGTAATTAACTGTTTATAATAGTACAATTAGTACTGGAGTAGTAAAGCGTACAAGCGCGATATGAGGAAAAAATTCTGGCGGCAAAGAAGCACTTGACCGCCACGTCGAGACGTAAACACGCTCCCTCGCTTTACCTAAAGCAGTGATATTTTTGTAATATTACAGACCACTAATTCCAATAGAGTAAAGTGAGAAGAAATAATTGCTTTTTAAACGAAATCGATATCTGTGTAGTTACCGAAAGAAAGCAAAGAAAGCTGGCGGCATATGAGTACTTGACCGCGACGTCGTGCTCAGGCTTTTACATGCCGCTAGCATTTATTGCTTAATTTCGGCAACTACAAAAGATATCGATTTCGTTCAAAAAGCACTGTCTTCTCCACACTATACTGTATTGGAATTAATGGTTTATAATATTACGATTAATACCACTGCTTTAGGTAAAGTATAGAAATGCGCGAATGTTTCGATGTTGCGATCAAGCTCTTACATGTCGCTAGCATTTATTCCTTATTTCTCGGCAACCACGAAAGATATTGATGTTATTTAAAGAGCATTAGTTTTTCCACAGTTTATGCTACTGGAATTAATGTTTTATAATAATGCGATTAATATCGTTGCGTTATGTAGAGCATTGAAGTGGACGTGCTTTTCGGCGTCGCGGTCAGGTTCTCGCATATACACGTACATATGATATTTCGTACGCATATACACGTAAATAAATTTATGACAGTACGTAAAGAGAAAAGATCATGTGCATGTTGAATAGAATATAAGTTTGTACGCAATGGTTCGTGTTCTTAACCACGCAATTATGCGCTTAGCACGGATACGAATCGCCAGAAAATGAGCGTAGAATAGACGCGCACCGAATCGCTACTTTACCGGCATCATCTGAAAATGGGCGTAGGGAACGTAGTTCCATCTGAAAAATGGATGCAGATGGCGCATCGCACCAGCGTGAAAATCGGTGTCGCCCAAAACATATGGCGTGGCCGCTTTCAGGTTTCTCTCTGCACATACTCTTCCATAAAGACATAATGCACAACGCATGAGAAAATAGACCAGGGAGTCGATTCTGTATCTCGAAACGAAGTGAAAATTACAAAAGCAAATATACTAGAATATTCGTAATTTCATTGGTCAGTGCCTAGTGAATGTGCTCACTTTTGTAATTTTCACTTCGTTTCGAGATACAGAATTGACTCTCAGAGTCCTTCATTTTCATCATGGCAATAGAAATGAGAATTCTGATTGGTCAAGTTTCTTATGCGTTGTGCATTGTGTCTTTATGCAAGAGTGTGTTCTCCCTGCTTTAGTTTTCTGTTTATGTATTTTCTAAAAGTAATGCTCTTTTGAACTACAATATTTTCTATTTTATTTCTTACATGTTCTTTTAATACAATATATTTATAGTTTTTTTTTATACAATATATTTTAGACTTCTTCTAATTAATGTCAAAATCTATTAAATTTATATTTGTACTTTTATATTTGTACATATTCATACAGCATAAATGTGTAAAAAATATTTTAGAAACGTCTGAATAATATCCTACTTGTTTTAGACTCTTTTTAGGATTTAAATAAACGCCTCAGGTATCAAGTTTCTTTAGGATCCCAAATAACATGTCTAAAAGATGTTGCAAAATGTCAACAAAATGTTGCATAAGATGTCTTTTAGATATCTTTTCGACATCTTTTAGACATGCATATTATCTGGGATATCTCTGAAAAACGTATTTTAGATATTTATACTGTGGGGTATAAATATATGGGGTTTATACTGTTGGGTATGTGAATCTAGACCTATATATAGATTTAAATCTAGATTGATATTACCATAATATTATTATACTGGTTATGTTGGCATTTTGAATTTCTTTTATAGATACGAAAATTCACTAAAAATAGCAGGTCTTTTATAATTAAAATCTGAGCCCTTATTCTTAAAATAGTTGCGTATGTGTAAGTTTTACTGCGCAGGTTTAATCATACCATAAAATAGCTGCGCAATAAAAATTACGTATACGCAAAAATTTCAAGAATAGGGCTCTGTTCTTTTCAGTGCAATAATACACTTAAAAAAGAAAACAGAGTTTGGGTGACGTTCTTAGTACATGATGGTTTATGGTTGACCTAACCTAAATAACCTAATTCGAGCAGATCAAAATACGTACGAACAATCGCTTTTGTCCAAAACCGCGTTATAGCACAATAATAAAATTTTATAAAGGTAAGAAGTTGTCATAATAAAAACGTGAGTAGTTTAATTGCATGAAAAAGTAACTAGAAACGTGAACAGTGATTGTAATAGTTTGTTATGTGTTTGATAGTGATTCACGATGGTTGAAAATTTGGAAAATATCAATCCAAAGCTCTATAAAAAGTTGGATAAAAGAGAAATTACAACTGAGGAGGAAGATGAAAATGTCGTGGATGAATTCGACGCTAGAGAAGTTTTTGGTATGTATAACCTCTAAATAATGTCGACTTTTTGTTGATTTGGTTATTCTTATATATAATGATTACTATAAATATGTATATTTAATGACTGCATATAAAACATTCCAGTAGCTACCTCTTACAACAATCATGCATTATTTAATTATGCAGAATTATCTTTAATTTGTGAAATGGTGAATGATATTAGAATAAATACTCACCATAGTTTATTTGATCATTTTCAGATTTAATTAGGAATATCAATGACCCAGAACATCCACTAACTTTGGAAGAATTAAATATAGTGGAACAGAGTCTCATCCAGGTAAGAAATTTTCTCAAATTATAGTATTCTCAAAAATGATAATATCTAAAACTTTGCAGTAATAGAATGCTTTATATTACAGGTTGACAATAAGAAGAATACAGTGGATGTGAAATTCACACCAACCATTCCTCATTGCAGTATGGCTACTTTGATAGGACTGTCGATTCGTGTACAATTATTACGTACTTTACCTTCCAGGTTTAAAGTGTCTGTGGAGATCACTCCTGGCAGTCATGTCTCAGAAGCATCGTTGAACAAACAGCTCGCTGACAAAGAACGAGTAGCTGCAGCTATAGAAAATTCCATGTTGCTTGAATTGCTTAACCAGTGTCTGATGCCAAAAGACTAGTGTACTGTAAAACATATTGTGCAATTACTATTTGTGAAGTGATGACATGTGTGTACATAACATACATGCTTTGTGTATATACAATGTGAAATAAATCTTATTTTTTAAAGCATAAACAGTAAACACAGAACAATATCATACAACTTTGTGGTGCTTGTAAATAATAATTAAGTGCTTGTGAAATTTAATCTATTTTTTAAATTTGTGATTGGCATTTGAGAAAAAAATTACCTCTTTCCATAGCTTTTCCTTTCACAGGCTCTGTATGTATTATTTTTTACATATATTTGTATTATTTCATAGCATATGTATGTGAAGTAGTGTTAAATATATATTTAACACTACTTTGTCGATAACAGAGAATTCTTTGTGGTTGCACTTTAATGCGAACAAAAGGCTCGAACTTACCAAAGCACGAAGGCGTAGTGTAGTCGTCGAATTTTAAGCATTTATCATTTTCGACACAAACAAGTGCACTTGCTCAATTTCCCTCCATTCTCCTGACATGACGCGATAGACGTCGGCTGAAAGTATTAAGGGACATCGCGTTTAATCGTACTCAGATGGACTAAGTAATATAAACGATCTCTCGTTACTCCATTCAGTATTTCCGACAATATCACGCGTGAGACTTACCTTTGACAGATTAAAGCTTGATCTATAATGTGTTCTTTGCTTCCTGTTACTTTTTCTTTATCTCTTTCTGACTCAAGCCTTAAACCTTAAACTAAAAAAATACAGAAAACAAGAAATAGGAAGCAAAGAACACATTGTAGATCAAGCTTAAAAGATACGAGAAATACTAGTGGTCGCGAGATGACGCGAAGACTCAAACAGAGTGGAATAGTATGAAACAGCCGCTGTTGGTCACGTGACATCGTACGTTTCGTCTCGGTGTCTTTTTAAACGCGAATCATTTTACTATTTTGTCTTATGTATATCAGTGTAATATTTCACGTATCAAGACTCTACAATTGGAGATTGTATATTTGTTTTGCGTATTTCGGATTATAATTATGTGATAATTATGAGATTGCAAATGTACGCACCACTGGACTCGAGGCTCGCTACGCGCGCTGCTTCGAGGCTCACTGAGCGACGCTGGACTCAAGGCTTGCTGCGCGCGCAACGTCGAGGCTCGCTGCGCGTGACGTTGGGTTCGAGAAGCTATACATATAATGCTGCCTCGAGGCTTCTCGCGTGACGCTGCTTCGAGGCTTTCTTCGTAACACCGCTTCGTGGTTCGCGAGCGCGACGACACCTGCAGCCTTTTTCAAACGGACGGGATCCAGCATGTTGGATTCGAAAAGTCGTCCCGTATTTCTCGTCCAAAGTGAGTCTCACAAGCTAATTATCATCCAAAATGTCAGGGGCAACTCTCGCGCGCGTAGTAATGAAATTTTTTCGAACAATCGTCGAAACAGCACGCGAATGAACATTTCATGAGTGGGGCCGAGTGAAGTCCCGCGCGTTTGTTTCGTCGTAACGATTCCGAATCTAAATTACAGCGTCTTGCGCTTTTGGCTTGGCGAAGGTGACATTCGCTCGCGAATTATCGTCGCACGAAACACAGAACGCATACTAGTGCATTATAGTAAGAAAAATATCATGAAATAATCGTCGCGGGACGATCACTCTCCCCTCTCTTTTGTCGCAGAACGGGCGCTAAAATTTCGCGTAATGGCGGTTTGAAACGGCTATTGTTATGTTGTACATGTTCCGTCTCGTTCGCGAAGCGTCAACATCGGAATGTCGGAAGTAAGTTTCGCTTGTTTTCCTAACAGAATATCATTAAATAATCGTCGCGAGTGAATATCTTCTGCGAAACGAGTCCCCGGAATGTCGAGTACAATTTCGCCCGTTTGTCACGTAATGACAGTCGAAAATATTATTGTTACATTGTGCGTCTCGATCTCGCCAATAGCGAGTGTCGTTCGCGAAATATTATCGCCAAGAATGTCGAAAAAAAACGCGTTTTCGCAGCCAAGTATCATTAAATAACGAATTAAGATCGTTCGCTCCCTTCCTTCTCTTGAAATGCACGTAAAATTTCGTCTCGCCGAAAACGAGTCTCACTCGTCAAGTATCGACGTCGCGAACACCGAAGGAAAATTTTAGATAATCGTCGAATATTCTCCCGCGGAACACACAAGTCAAAAACGACGAAGTAAAGTACAGTGAGTCGCAAAACGGTTTAGACACAACGAATTCCAGAGCTGATGGTCCAATGACAAAATTTACTTTTGAATAATTTGTTCTCTTATTATATCTAAACCGTTTTGCGATTCCCTACTGTACGCTGTTTGAATGACGGTTCGAAGAATAACCGCTGCGTAGTAACTTTCGTCCCCTGAAAAGGGATATCGCGTGTAGTTTGCTGGGAATGCCGAAAGTAATGTCGCGCGTTCGTCGTGACGGAATGTCGCCGGGCAAACGTCGAAAAGGAGTAACTCGTGAAGCCAGCCGTCAGGGATGCCACATAATGTCGGGAGTGCCGAGCAAAGTATCGCGCGTGAAATATCGTCGGAAGTGCCGAGCAAAATATCGCGCGTGAAATCTGTCCATTGGCTACGAGGATGGATTGTCCTGCCGAACAAGTCGTCGGGCTGCGTTCAGAAACTCTACTCGGTGAGTAGAGTAACATTTAATTAGCCAATCAGAGCAAAAGGAATTAAGATTTATTTATTATGATTGGTTTATTAAAGTAACTCTACCCATCGAGTAGGATTTCTGAACATAACCCTGGTGTCCCGGAGTTTGGGATCGTTGCGTTTACACTCGCAGGAAAAACCGGTGAGTAACGACACAGCAGAAGCTGTCCTCATATATTGAATGGTATGTTTCATTCGCGAATTGAAATCAGATACTAAGCGATCGGTTACTCTGTAAGCGTGAGAAAAATAATTTAAGTTTGTTGACTCGAACAAAACAAAAGCATTGTATAAAATACGCAAAGCATATTCGCATAACATAGGCTCGAGACACGCTTGAGTATCAACGATTTCCTTTCGTCATACGAGAATCGACACATGTTTATAACAGAATCTCAATTTCTTCTAATGAGGTTAGAATTCGCATAAACACTGATATCTCCGCGATTAGTCTGAGCAGCTCGAATTTTGCATTTTATTCGTCTTTATATCATAAATATGTATATATACATTTGTGGTTAATTATCTCATAATACTCATAATACAATATTCTTGTAAAATTACGTTTTCACGTAGCTATTGTTCGTAAGAAAATATCAATTCGTCGCTCAGATTATCGCAGGCGACGCCGGTCGTCGATTGAAATCACCAATAAACGTCGATAAAAATTGACACATTAATATATGTAGTAAAATCTCAATGTTCTCTAAGGCTACGTTCCAAAACGTCTCTTCCGAGGAAAATTTTACTGAAAGTCCATAGTATATATAACGTGAACTATAAATTTTCCGTAAAATTTGTCTCAAGAACGTGTTGGAATGCAATCTAAATGAGGTTAGAATCTCCTCGGCGGGAGCGTAAATAAAACGTAAAGATTCGCGAATGGCATATTTCCGCGTTTGGATTTTGATACTTCACTCACTTCTGAATTATAACTGTACATATATATTTTTCATTAATTATGTCAGAAATATTCCATGTTTCTGCAAAATCGCATCTTTCTTCTCCACGCGTACCTATATTCGTAAGAAAACGTCAACTCGCTGTTTAGACTATCACCGATAGAGATCAACGAGTGTCGATAACGCGGACGCTATGACTCGGCTGCGACTTTATCGGCCGATCTCTCCGCGGCGCGACGCTGCCGCCGAGATGGCGACAGCGTACGAGTCTTCGCGGTGCCGCGAGCTCCGTCGTGCTCGCGAATCTCCTCGTCGTACGCTGACGGCGCGCGCGGCGTTCGAACTTTCCCGCGCCGCTTCGCCGGTCGTCCTCTCGACCCCTCGCCGCTTCGCGCATCGGTCGGAACCTCGGTCCCCACCTGCGTCGCTTCCCACCAGTCACGCGGTCACGCCGCGACGTGGGAGTGGGAGTGTTTGGCAGCGCGTTTGTTTAGTTGCGCGCTGACAGCGACCGCGGTCGTATGAATCGGCGCGCGTGATCGCGTATCCCGGAAACGCCGACTGCCGGCGTCACATTTGCGTCGGCTCGTTCGTGTCGTCATAGCCGCGCGTTGTCGTTCACTCTCTCTCGGTACCAGAATCCCTTACGGAGCTGTCACTCCTCGCCGCGTCGGCAGTGTTAATCTGTCTCTCGATCTTGCGTGTCCTCGTTGTCCCGTCCCGTGTTCGTTTGTCCGTTCATTGACGGCGTCTTTTCGTCGTCCCGATCGTCGTCGTCGCTTTTCGCTGCCTCTTCTTGTTACCTTTTCCCGCCTCTTTTGTCCTACCCCCTCTCCCCGCGCTTTCGCACGTGTGCTGTGTCGATTGTTGACCGTCTACTCGTGACCACCAACCGCCGCCGCGAGATCACTACCACGCTGCTCCACGCTACAACGCAATGTCCACGTTGAACGGGTGATGGCAGAACGCAGAGAGGATGTCGCGCCGCAAGCAGAGCAACCCCAAGCCGCTGAAACGTGAGTCCTAGATTTGTGCTTTGCCCCCGGCTTTTTCGTGCGAAGCTCTCGCTCCGAGACGCGTCGCGCCGCGTCTCTCTCCGTGCTTTCGATGACACGTGCGGTGTATGTGTGTGCGGGTGTGTTTGTTTCTTTTCGTTTGCTTGTTGGTCGCATGAAGTCTGATCTACAATATGCTCTTTGCTTCCTGCTTCTTCATCTCTTTCTGACTCAAACCTTAAGCTTTAAGCCAGAAAAAGGAAGAAGACAAGAAACAGAACGCAAAGAGCATATTGTAGATCAGACTTGAGCCTAGATTTACAATCTGCTCTTTGCTTCTTGTTTCTTCCTTTATTTCTTTTTTACTTCAACCTTAAGCTTCCAGCCAAGAAAGGATAGTGAAAAATAGGAAGTAAAGAGCACATTAGAGATCAGGCCTGATGTGTGTGAGAACCGTGTGCGCTTTGACAGCGCGCTTTCCTTCGTCGCGTCGGTCGCCATGTTGTTGTAGATTTGAATTCGTCGCGTGCGCGCGGTTTCCGCGCCACTTATTCGGAATGATTATTTTAGCCGAAATGTCTGATAATCAGGCGCGTTTCGACTCGGTTGCTGTCTCGCTCGAATTTCAAAGCGAGAAAGGAACGGGGAGCAGGCGAATCGTTGTTGACAATTAGATATTCTCTGATGTCTCCGATTTAAACGAATGCGTTCGAGTGGCTCGTGTGTACATATATTGTGCAATTTGGCACATGTCTTGAAAACGATCCAATTTCAGAAAATCGCGCGTCCGCCGCGAATTTGTCGAATGCGCGGAAATTTAAGCGAATTTCCGAGAGCATACGCGAGTCGCAAGTGTCGAATGCGCCGAAGTAATCATTGAAAATCAACATGTTGTGAGCCATCGGAACCACAAAAGTTCGCGGGTAAGAAAATCGCAAACACATTATCGCGGTTGTAGATAGTGATTAAGTTGTACAAGTGTTCAATTATTTAATAGAGTATGTTTTTACCTCCGATTTTATCGTCAGCCGGGGGAATTAGTTTCCAAATTACTATTATTATTCTTCCTCAGTTAGATTCGAGTAAGATTTAATAATATTTTAGCTAGTAAACATCTTGACGCGTAGCATCGCGAAACGATTAATGAGACGTTCGACCCAAAAGTTCCGACAAAAAAATTATTTTTCGGTTTTGACCTGGGAAGTTCGATGGAAATCTCGCGAAACTCGCGCTATTATCATTAACATCGAGGGATTTTGCGAAAAGAACTTATGGCTATGTGATCGAGAAAAAAATCTGCGCGTCTTCCTTTCTCGATAGAAGCGATAAATTCCATCGAGGATAAATCAACAGCCGAATAAATTAATTCGCGACACCGGCGAAGGAGAACGAGTTCCCCACGGACAAAACGG